CCCCTTCCCCAGGCCTTCGCAGCACGCGCCAGCATAGTGCACATTGATATCGACCCCGCGGAGATCGGGAAGAACAAGGAGGCGCACGTCAGCATGCACGCCGACGCTCCTTCTCATCTCTTTCTCCCTCCCCCCCTTCCCCCTTCCCCAGGCCTTCGCAGCACGCGCCAGCATAGTGCACATTGATATCGACCCCGCGGAGATCGGGAAGAACAAGGAGGCGCACGTCAGCATGCACGCCGACGCTCCTTCTCATCTCTTTCTCCCTCCCCCCCTTCCCCCTTCCCCAGGCCTTCGCAGCACGCGCCAGCATAGTGCACATTGATATCGACCCCGCGGAGATCGGGAAGAACAAGGAGGCGCACGTCAGCATGCACGCGGACGTGCGTCCCGCGCTCGCGTTGCTGAACGCCGCCATCGCGGAGGAGGTGGCGGAGGGGCGCCCGCTGCCGTCTTACGCGGAGTGGCGCGACGAGTGCCGCGCGCAGAAGGAGAAGTGGCCGCTCAAGTACCCCAAGGTTAGCCGCGTGGCACTGGCTGTGGCAAAAAGGGGGGGGGAGGGGAAATGGGGATTAGGATGCGTTGCGACTGACTGTCACGACAAGTGCATGGCGCAGAAGGAGTAGTGGCCGCTCAAGTACCCCAAGGAGAGCCGTTGCTGTGGTTATGGCAATGGCAATGCGTTATGCTAAGGGGGGGATGCGCTGCGGGTCGTCTGGATAGGCGCCGAGCGCGTGACAGGGCGCAGAAGGAGACTTTGCTGCTCAAGTACCCGTAGATGTGACCGGAAAGAAGTGGCGACGGCAATAGCAATCGCAGTACAATGGCAGAAATCGAACTCGGACTTTAAGTGAAGCAGCAATAGCAGCGGCTACGGCAGTAACAGCGGCAGTGGTTGAAGCGGGAATCTGAATGCACGTCCCTGATTGGCGCACATGGCGGCACGAGCGCGTATCTTGGATATCGCTCGCATGAACGCACGAGGATGCGTGGTATAGCAGCATGACGAGGCGGGCTGTCAACTGACCCTGAAAGCCACGCATCGAAATAAACGCCGCACATTGCAGCGCTCTCACCGCCTGCTCCCGCCCTCACACGCTCCCCTGCATCTGTTCCCCTTCCTTTTCCCCTCCCCCTTCCCCTTCCCATTTCCCTGCACTCTTACCGCCGGCCATCCGTGCGTTCCCTTGTCTAACTCGGCACAGTGAACTCTGAGCTGATGCCCTCTCACGAGTGAGAGCCGCTGCTTTGCCTCACTGCCGAGGGCCTCAACCCTCCCCTCCTTCCCTCTCCCTCCTCCCCCCATCTCCACCATCAGGTGGAGGAGGCGATTCTCCCCCAGGAGGCAATCGAGGTGCTGTACGGCATCACCAAGGGCAAGGCAGTGGTCTCTCACACCCTTCCTCACTCCTCTCCCTCTCCCTCCCTCTCCTTCTCTGCCCACCCCTTCAGGTGGAAGAAGCAATCCTTCCCCAGGAGGCCATTGAGATGCTGTACGAGATCACCAAGGGCGAAGCAGTCATCGCAACAGGCGTGGGGCAGCACCAGATGTGGGCGGCGCAGTTCTTCAAGTACCAGCAGCCGCGCCGCTGGATCACCTCGGGCGGGCTGGGCTCCATGGGCTTCGGCCTGCCCTCCGCCCTGGGCGCCATTGCCAGCAATCCGGGGCTGCCAGTCATTGATATTGATGGGGACGGGTCGTTCATCATGAATGTTCAGGAGCTCGCGACGATCACGGCTGAGAAGCTGCCGGTGAAGATCATGATTTTGAATAACCAGCACCTGGGCATGGTGGTGCAGTGGGAGGACCGGTTCTACAAGGTGAGGAGCGATGGGGAGGAGTGGGGAGGGGAGGGTAGGGGGTTTGTCGGGACCTTGCAGGTATGGTCTGCAGTGAATGGTACATGGATTTGGGATGTGGGGAGGCTGCATCATGAGGGTATTTTCCATGGAATGGCATGGGTGGGTGAATGCTGGTTAGTGAATGCTGGTTAGTTAATGCAAGACTGTGAAGCACACTTGGCGACACAATGCATCCTCTGTCGCACTAGGGAATGCATCCTCTGTGTCGCACTAGGGAATGCATCCTCTGTGTCGCACTAGGGAATGCATCCTCTGTCGCACTAGGGAATGCATCCTCTGTGTCGCACTAGGGAATGCATCCTCTGTGTCGCACTAGGGAATGCATCCTCTGTCGCACTAGGGAATGCATCCTCTGTGTCGCACTAGGGAATGCATCCTCTGTGTCGCACTAGGGAATGCATCCTCTGTGTCGCACTAGGGAATGCATCCTCTGTGTCGCACTAGGGAATGCATCCTCTGTGTCGCACTAGGGAATGCATCCTCTGTGTCGCACTAGGGAATGCATCCTCTGTGTCCCACTAGGGAATGCATCCTCTGTGTCCCACTAGGGAATGCATCCTCTGTGTCGCACTAGGGAATGCATCCTCTGTGTCGCACTAGGGAATGCATCCTCTGTGTCCCACTAGGGAATGCATCCTCTGTGTCGCACTAGGGAATGCATCCTCTGTGTCCCACTAGGGAATGCATCCTCTGTGTCGCACTAGGGAATGCATCCTCTGTGTCCCACTAGGGAATGCATCCTCTGTGTCCCACTAGGGAATGCATCCTCTGTGTCCCACTAGGGAATGCATCCTCTGTGTCCCACTAGGGAATGCATCCTCTGTGTCCCACTAGGGAATGCATCCTCTGTGTCCCACTAGGGAATGCATCCTCTGTGTCCCACTAGGGAATGCATCCTCTGTGTCCCACTAGGGAATGCATCCTCTGTGTCCCACTAGGGAATGCATCCTCTGTGTCCCACTAGGGAATGCATCCTCTGTGTCCCACTAGGGAATGCATCCTCTGTGTCCCACTAGGGAATGCATCCTCTGTGTCGCACTAGGGAATGCATCCTCTGTGTCCCACTAGGGAATGCATCCTCTGTGTCCCACTAGGGAATGCATCCTCTGTGTCCCACTAGGGAATGCATCCTCTGTGTCCCACTAGGGAATGCATCCACTGCTCCTTCAACCCTGAGGCTAGCCGCAGAATTTTTTTTTCCACTTCCGTCCCATTCTCCCCCACACTCTCCCTCCTCATATCCCATCCTATCTCTGACACCCCTTATCCTGCTCCTAGGCAAACTGCACCCACACTTATCGAATTGCATGGTTCACATGCCATTCCTTCCTGGGTCTGCCGCACATTGAGTAGCCCTCAGTTGCACAGTTGCTTCCCCACGCTCCTCCTCACATTCCATCTCTTCCAACCCCCGCCTCCCCCCTCCCCACTCTCTCCCTTGAAATCCCTCCTCCCCCCAGGCCAACCGCGCGCACACCTTCCTGGGTCTCCCAGACCAGGAGGACGAAATCTTCCCCGACTTCACCAAGTTCGCTGCCGCCTGCAAGGTGCCCTCAGAGCGTGTCACACGCAAGGCAGACCTGCGGGGAGCCATTGAGCGCATGCTGGCAGCGGAGGGGCCGTACCTGCTGGATATTATTGTGCCGCACCAAGAGCACGTGCTGCCCATGATTCCGGGCGGCCGCACGTTCAAGGATATTATCACGGACGGCGATGGCCGGCAAGCGTATTGATGAGGGGATGGAGGGGCAGGGTGGGGGGGTGGTGTGCGCGGTTCAGAGTATGGTACCGGAAGTAGGATACATGGAAGGGATGCAAAACAAAAAAAATATGACATTACTAGGGCTTGGGCGCTTGTATGTATGAGTCCCTTTTGGATTGAATAGTTTCTGGTTTGTGGAGTTTCATTTTACAGTAAACATTCCACCAGACCATGTGGGCACTAGCATCAGTGTCTGCTACAAGTTTGCTCGCTTTGGGTTTCTTGGCTGTGCGGAACAACAGGCCAGATGTTTCACATCGAGGATGTCAAGGAGTTCTCTCTCCTTTATGGTCCCTGGAAACGTTCTAGAGTAAGGACACATTTGTTGTATTACCCGTAATCTTGCATACGCACATCTGTTTAGCGGGGATGGCGAGAGGAGCGAAATTTAAGGGTTACGAGAAAGGTGTTGACTAGTCACCGCATGTCGGTGGTTACACCAGAAACCCCTTTCCCCTGGAGCGTGGGAAAGAACCATTCCCGAGCGACGGGGCAAGAACCATTCGCTAGCTGTAAATTGCAAACATGCGACGATGATGATAGCCCTCAATTCTACCCACGGGCCACGACAGAACACTTCTTTGACGGCGCTGTTCCACGCGCGCCGCTCGATGGGGCAGACAGTGAGGGGGAGGGGGCTGGTCTCGCTTGGAGTTTGTCCGCTTGCTTGCCCCGTCAGGTCTGGGCTTGGCGCATGGCGTTTTTTGTTTCTGGCTGGAAGACGTATTTGATCAGGTAATAACAAGAAATCATACATCTTTCCAGGGGTAGAAAGTACTTCATCGAAAACTCATGCTGTGGTGTACTTCAAAGTCTAACAGAAATTGGTGACTATTGAAATACCACGTTGCGAAAATCGGTGAATTTTCTAAAAGCCTACGGAAGGATTTCGACCAGCCCGACTCCTGGCTTATTTCCACCCACATAAGCACCGTCCATCAAATCCTACCAAACCGAAAACACAGCCCCATCTCGCCGCCACTAATTTTATTGGGCCTCCCCCAGATCTCGCCCCTGCGGCTCGTATGAACCAAAACGCGAAAGTTCTTTCTGCCCCTCCTCATCCCACCGCTCCACGCCATGACCAATTCCCCCCTTCCCCCTTCCCACAAGGCCGTTCGACACCCAGTGTGAGCGATGACTGGTAAACATAGCCAGTCGTCTCTCAGCGTAGTTTCCCGCATTCGATGATACAATCGCGCGCGCCTCACATTCCTAATCGTGCTTGCTGGGACCACTGCTTGCTGCATGTATCTATCCCTTACAACTAAATATCCCACCGTTCTCTCGCGTAACTCGCAGATTCTTCTGACATACCTCAGCGCCTTGGCCTCATAAAGTTATCAGGATACGATTCAAGACTCGCATCTTCTCAATGACCGTTAGACTCCGATATCTGGCGCTGTTACTCGGAATTCTATGGATCGCCCTATCTCACTCTGTCCCAGGTATACCCATGATGGTTCCTTCGTTATGAGCACGGCCCCATGCAAGAGAAACGTTCGCAGCGCCGTGTAATAGCTCATTCGAGTGCCGTCGTCGCCGCCCCCTCACGTCGCACGTGCGATCGTTCGCGCGACGCCCTCATGAGCGGCCATGCGCATCGGACTTTTGACCCACACCCCTCACCCCATCCCCCCGCCCTTTCTCCCCCCTTCCACCTCTCCCCATTCCCTCTCCCCCCTCCCCTTCCGCTTTCCCGTGCAGTCGCCTCCGCCAAGAACCCGCTTTACATCGTCCGCCTCCGCTCCGCGCCTCCGCTCACCGCGTATCGCGGCGGGATTCCCGGATACCCCGCGACCGCGGTGTGGGCCGATGACCCCGACGACGACGGCGACGGAGGCGATTCGTCTGACGGGCTTATCGCCACGTCCGCAAATGCCGCCGTCACTGCCGCCGCGACTGCCGCCGAGACTGTAGCCGCAACCGCCGCAATCTTGAACATCTCCAACGGACCCTTCGCCACCGCAGCGTCCGCTGGCGTCTCCGCCGCCGCCGCCGCCGCCGCGGGGGGGAACCAGCGTCCGCGCATCAACATGCGCGCGGCGCACGTGACGGCGTTCGCGCAGCTGCTGCAGCGGCAGCAGGCGCAAGTTGCGGCGGACGCGGAGGTCGCGGCGGGTCAAGTCCTCTATAACTTCCGCCACACCACCAACGGGTTCGCGGCACCGCTCACGCCCGCGCAGCTGCGGAGGTTAAGGCGGCACCCGTCCGTCGCGTCGGTGCGGCGGAGCCGCGTGTTCCGCAAGCTGACGACGTCGTCACCCACGTTCTTGGGATTGCCGGGCAGCGTGTGGCCCGCCGTGGGCGGGCGCAGCAAGGCGGGCGCGGGGATGGTGATTGGGATCGTCGACACGGGTGTGTGGCCGGAACACCCGTCGTTCAGTGGAGGGGTGAGTGAAGATGAGAGTGAATGGGGTCAACAAGTCGTGCCAGTGCGAGCAAGGCGGTGCGGTTTTTGAGAATTCTCAAAAACCAACGAGCAAGGCAGGCGCGGGGATGGTGATTAGCATTGTGGTGTGGACACGGGTGTGTGGCCGGAACACCCGTCGTTCAGTGGAGGGGTGCGTCGTAGGAGTGGGATTAGTGATTATGGTGATGGTGATTATGGTGATGGTGGTGATGATGGTGGTGGGGATGATGAGGATGATGGTGATGGTGGTGGGGATGATGAGGATGATGGTGATGGTGGTGGGGATGATGAGGATGATGCACAGCAGCTCTTTCACCATCCTTCTTTCCCATGCTCCTTGCGACAGCTCCACATGACATGCACACAGCAGCATCCCATGAAACCACCAGGCCGCCACATCGGAGCCACTCACCCATGGCATCTGCCTCAACCCCTTCTGCTTGCTCCCATCCCTCCCCACCTCAACCCCTTCCCCCCTGCCCTTCCCCTCTCCCGTTCCCCCCTCCCCCTCCTCCCATTCCCCCCGTTGCAGGGCTTCGCAGCAGCGCGCCCGGCAGGGTGGGCGGGAACGTACCAGAAGACATCCGATTTCTCCTCCTGCGGCAACAAGCTCATCTTCTCTCCTTCACCCTCCCCCCTCCTCCCCCCTCCTCCCCCCTCCTCCTCCCTCTGCAGGGCTTCGCAGCAGCGCGCCCGGCAGGGTGGGCGGGAACGTGCAAGAAGACATCCGATTTCCCCGCGTGCAGCAACAAGCTCATCGGCGCGCGCTACTTCGTCTCGGGCTTTCAAAGCGAGAACGGCCGCCCGGACCTCACGTACGACTGGCTGTCCCCTCGCGATGCTGCTGGCCACGGCACCTGGTGTGCGGGGTGAGTCAACCTGACCCAAGTCGCCTCCGCGGCTGTCTCTGCCCTGCCTCTGCACTTTTCCAGCCTCTCCGCCGGTTTCCCGTCGCCCCTCTCCCTCCCTCTCTTTCCCCAAGCACTTCACCCTTCCCCACTGACCCTGCGGACCCCACCACCCCCTTCTGCCCGGCCACGCCTGTAGAGCCGCAGTGGGCAACAGCGGCGTGTCATTGGGCCAGGCAGGAACAGCCTCGGGCATGGCGCCAGCAGCGCGCCTGGGCGGTCTACAAGGTGTTATGGAGGAGCAGTGGCGACCAGTTGGCTACAGAGGCAGACATACTCGGTGGCACCAACCAGGCTGTCGCCCCTCCACCCCATGTCAAACCCCCCATCCTCCCCCACCCCCTCTCAGAGCTGCAGCGAGCAACAGCGGCGTGTCATTTGGCCAGGCTGGCACGGCATCAGGCATGGCGCCAGCAGCGCGCCTGGCGGTCTACAAGGTCTTCTGGACGAGCTACGGCGACCAGTTTGCTACAGAGGCGGACATAATCGCCGCCACCAACCAGGCTGTAGCGGACGGTGTGGATGTGCTCTCGCTCTCCCTGGGCGGCAGCAGTGCTGACGCGACCTATTTCGACGACATTCCGTTTCTGAATGCCAACACGGCGGGCGTGTTTGTGGCGTTTGCGGCGGGCAATTCCGGGCGGCCGAGTAGCGGGAGCAGCTTCAGCAGATATCGCACCATCAGCAACTTCTCTCCATTCTACCTCACAGTGGGGGCCAGGTAATTTTGAGGCGGTAGCAGCTATGTGGGGGCCAGGTATGTGGGGGGCAGGTACGTGGTAGCACCATCTTCGCTCTCTTTCCCTCACAATCACCTGCTTCTCATACTACTGCAGCAGCTTTCCTCATTTTTCACCTCACGGTCTGGGCTAGGTACATGTCTCTCCTCCCACTGGTCCCCACCGATCCACCTGCTTCCTGTGCTCCTTTCTCGGTTCCACTGCCGAGGGACACCCAACCCGCTTGTTCCAGTGCCGGTTGTTGCTACTACGAGAAACACCTAGCCTGATTCTGCGAGCTCTCTTCTTCCCCCCTCCCCACCCCTTGACGTCTGCAGCACCATCCAACGAGGGGGTGTGTCTCTCGCCAGACGGGCTCCGACCAGAAAAGCCGCTTCTGCGGGCAAAGCTGCTGTGGCCGCTTCAAACCACTCTAGGTATACTGTTGTGCACAGGTTTGGGAGTGTACCTCACACCACCTCACACCACCTCACACCACCTGTGCCAGTCTCACCCCAGGCATTGTCTTGATCAGGAACTAAAACTCGTTTCCCCTCTCAGATTTTCCACCAGAAGAACTCACAACGTCTGTAGCCCTCTCGTCATTGTTTTCCCCAGCTGACTCCTCACGCCTTCCCCGTTCCCCCTCCACGCCCTCCCTTTCTTTCCCCTCCGCGCCCTCCCTTTCTTTCCCCTCCGCGCCCTCCCTTTCTTTCCCCTCCACGCCCTCCCTTTCTTTCCCCTCCACGCCCTCCCTTTCTTTCCCCTCCACGCCCTCCCTTTCTTTCCCCTCCACGCCCTCCCTTTCTTTCCCCTCCACGCCCTCCCTTTCTTTCCCCTCCACGCCCTCCCTTTCTTTCCCCTCCACGCCCTCCCTTTCTTTCCCCTCCACGCCCTCCCTTTCTTTCCCCTCCACGCCCTCCCTTTCTTTCCCCTCCACGCCCTCCCTTTCTTTCCCCTCCACGCCCTCCCTTTCTTTCCCCTCCACGCCCTCCCTTTCTTTCCCCTCCACGCCCTCCCTTTCTTTCCCCTCCACGCCCTCCCTTTCTTTCCCCTCCACGCCCTCCCTTTCTTTCCCCTCCACGCCCTCCCTTTCTTTCCCCTCCACGCCCTCCCTTTCTTTCCCCTCCACGCCCTCCCTTTCTTTCCCCTCCGCGCCCTCCCTTTCTTTCCCCTCCACCAGCACAACGCAATCTACCCCATCCGCAACGCCCTCCCCCACCACCAAACCCACCACCCAAAGCAACCCCACCACAACCGCCACATCTCCCCGCCGCACCGCCGCCACCGCCGCCCCCGTTGTCGCCTCCTTCTCCTCCTCGGGCCCTCTCGTCCGCCCATGGACCGTCTCCCAAGGCGCCCAGGCCACCAACGCCATCTTAAAGCCCGACATTGTCGGTCCAGGGGTTGCTCTCTTCTCCGCGTGGGTCGGCTCTGACGTGGGCGATAAGGGCAGCTACGCGCAGCTGTCGGGGACGTCGATGGCGACGCCTCACTTGGCGGGCATTGCTGCTCTCATCATGCAGAAGTATCCCAAGTGGAGCCCCGCGCAGGTCATGTCGGCCATTATGACCACCGCCAAGACCACCAACACGGCAGGAACTGCCATTAAGAACGCATACGGATCGGTGGCAACGCCTTGGGAGATCGGCGCGGGCCATGTGTTCCCGCCCAAGGTTCTCGACCCAGGGCTTACATATGACGCCAGGCAAGCCCAGTACCGGAATTTTCTCGCTGGGATGAGCCTTTCAACGGCTCAGTTGGAGTTTCCCGGGGCTAATCTATCGCCCATAGCTCCCCGGAATCTCAACCGGGCCAGCATCTCGGTTGCGCGGTTGCGAGGGTCTGTGGTGGTTAAGCGGATCGTTACAAATGTCGCAGCTTCTGCTTCGACGTATACGGCTGCTGTTGTCGCTCCTGCTGGGGTGTCTGTGACTGTGACTCCCAAGAGCTTCACTATACAATCAGGAGCAAGGGTGGTGTATAAAGTGAATTTGAAGGTTACTAGAGTCTATGAGAACTTCCAATTCGGAAGCATTACTTGGACGGACGGTAAGGGGCACTCGGTTAGGTCTGTGCTTGCTGTACAGCCGTCAGTCTTAGCTTAGACTAAGAATGCAATAGAGAGTATTCAATGTATATTGTAATTAGGTGCTCTGATATATGTGTGGCTCTTGCCAATATTCCAGGTCTCCAAAGACCTAACGAATGCGCTTATAGCTGTGAAGTATAAGAGCCAGGCGATTTTGTTACTGTACGTCCAGCACCGCAGGCGGAAATCCAGGATTTTGTGGGACCGCGCTGGAAATTTGAACCACCGAACCGAACCGAGAGGCACGCAACCAGTCAGCTCGGCAGGAGACAAGGCCAGGCGTGACAAGACCGAGAGGGACAAGTCCGGGAGGGGAGGTGAGGAGGAAGGTGGGGGAAGGGGATGATACACCGCCGTGCCTCGTCATCACCGGACAATACACTTTTGCCTGTTGCTGATATTTCTCCTTCAGCGAGCAAAACATTTTTTTTCCCACCAGTTGCTTGATCTCGGGGTTCTCTGACTCCCCTCCTGAACCATCTCTGACACCTCAGGTGACTGGGCCCCGAACCGACCTGTAATCCCTGTTACCAACTAGACACACGTACAGCTCGTTCAACAAACCTTTTTATGTGCCTCGCCACTCACTGCGCAGAGCATAATTCCCGTGAGTACCCCACACCACACCTCCTCACCGCTTTCCCCAACCAGCCCGAACCGAGCTGTCCTCGGCTCGCCCCCCTTGGCCCCAGGTCAACCCCGTTCCACGACATACGCGCCACGTCACGCCGGGCTGCGAAGCTCCGCTGGATGGTTGCGTTAGTTACCACGTGTGTTCGCTTCAGTCAAACGCCTCTCACTGAGGATTTGCGAATTCCAGGAAAGGTCTTCGAGCGCCGCCTCGCGCCTCGGCAGCTTTCCGGGTTTCAACGCTGCCAGCTTCCTGTCAGGCTGTAAAAGAAGAAACGCGTTCGGCAGTTGAGAACACCAGTTCAGTTCATCTCTCTCTCTCTCGTTGCCAGCCAAACCAACCCTGCCCCACCACGTTCAGAATCCGTATTGTTCAGATTGCATACGCATCCTACTTCCTCACGTCATCTTTCTTCATCTCGCACTTTTGTCAAGCCTCTTACTGGCCTTCTGTGTGCCATATTGTCCGAGATTCGTTCGTCATTGTTAATTCAACTTCGCTTTCACGCTAGCGTGCTGTTTATACGCTCGCCAGCCAACGAAAACCGTTCAGTGACTGGTTCAAATTAAACCAGTTCGATAACTTTCCCTGTAAGCACCTGCCAATCCACTAGCTGCGGCTCCGCGTTTCCCCAGCCTAAAGATCGACGCTCACAGCTTCCGCTCCGGCTCGCTGACTCGTCGCAATGGCGTACCGCGACAGGTTCCTCCTCGCCATCGCGCTACTCCTCTCGTCCGCGTGTCAATGCGGCCTCGCCGTTCGACGAGGTAAGCCACGTCACTTCGTCCTGTTATTTCATGCCTAAATGTACTCCTTGGACTAATGCCGAGTCGCCTCCATTAATCAATGGAGGTAGTAATCTCTGTCCCACAAACCTCGTCTCGTTCTCGCCTGTATCTCATTACCCCGTCCCTCGTTCTCTTCCGCGTTCCCCTCTTCCCCACTCCGCCCCCGCACACCTCGCTGCCGCGCAATCGCAGCGCCCACCCCCAAGTCCACGTCGCTCTATACCGTGCGCCTGCGCTCCGCGCTTCCCCTCGCCGCGTATCGCGGCGGGATAGCGAGCTTCTCGGGATGGACGGACGACGGCGACGACGATGCTGCCAGCCCGTCAGGTCTGCGGGCGACGGCGGCGACGGTTGCACACGAGGAGGCGACGCTCGCCGGCAGCGTTCCGCGGCGCGCGCGGCTGAGCATGGAGAACCCGCAGCTCAAGGCGTACGCGCAGATGCTCGAGACGCAGCAGATCCGAATCGCGTCTGACGTGGGCGTGACGTCAGACCGCATTGTGTACAAGTGCGTGGGGTGAAGAGCGTCACGAGTTAAGACCGATATTAGCAGCGCCCCGCGCGTTTGAGAGCAGCCTTGTGTTATATGATAGCTTGAAAGCACAGGAATACCAGCCGCATTCCATGGCTCCCCACATCACCCACCGCACCCACGCCCTCCCATACCCTACCCCAAACCCTCCCTTCTCCTCTCCCAACCCCCATCCCTACCCTTCCCTCCCCATACTTTACGGGCATGCGAGCAACGGGTCCTCACGTGGCGTGAGGAGTGGGACCCAAACTAGCACCCCCACTGAGTGCTCCAGAGCCTTCAAGGCTCGAGGCTCAGTGGGGTGATGGTTCTTGAGAGCAGCCTTTCAGGCCCATCTCATGGGGTTCCCGTACCCGCATCACCCACCGCACCCACCCCCTCCCATACCGCATCCAAATCCCTGTTTCCCCTCCCCATTCCTCATCCCTCCAACTCACCCCTCCTGCACCCCACTCCCCCATTCCCCCCCAACGCACCCCCTCCCCCAGCTACATGCACGCGAGCAACGGGTTTGCAGCGGCCCTCTCCCCACAGCAAGTGCGGCAGCTGCAGCGGCACCCGGCAGTGGCGGCAGTGACGCGCAGCCGCAGAGTGACGCCCCTCACCATCGACTCGCCCACCTTCCTGGGCATGCGCGCCCCCGGGTCGCTGTGGCCCGCCAATGGCGGGCAGGCGAGCGCGGGCAAGGGCATGGTGATAGGCGTGGTGGACACGGGCATCTGGCTGGAACACCCCTCCTTCAGCGATGCCGGGTTTTCGTCCTCCAAGCCTGCGGGGTGGTCGGGGAAATGCGACACCACGAGCGACTTCAAGTGCAATAAGAAGCTGATCGGCGCACGGGCGTTCTACAAGGGCTTTAAGGAGGACAACGGCGGGCCGGACCTGTCGAATGATTGGCTGTCGCCCCGCGATTCGTACGGCCATGGCACGTGGTGTGCGGGGTACGTGGCTTGCCAAGTGGGCTTTAAGATTCCTTCAGGCTGGAAACCCGTGGGGTGATGGCTTGTGAAATTCCCCCAGCCAGGGTGCATGTGAGATGCTTCAGCCCATGTGCATGTGAGATGCTTCAGCCCATGTGCTTGTGAGATGCTTCAGCCCATGTGCATGTGAGATGCCTGTGGCAACACCGTTCGATGTTCCAGCCCACTGCATCGACTCACCTCCCTCGATGTATCCCTCTCCCTCCTCCCCTTTCCCTCCCCGCCTCCCTCATCTTCCCCCTCTCTGCAGCGCGGCAGCGGGCAACAAGGACGTGCCCATGGCGGGCGGCAAGGCGAGCGGCATGGCGCCAGCAGCGCGCCTCGCAATGTACAAGGTCTTCTGGTACTCCGACGGCTCTCTCTTCGCCGTATTGCCCGACATAGAAGCTGCCGTCAACCAGGCGGTAGCGGACGGTGTGGATGTGCTCTCGCTCTCGCTGGGCGGCATGGATCCGGATGACACGTACTTCTCCCACATGCCGTATCTTAATGCCAACCTCGCGGGGATGTTTGTGTCGTATGCAGCGGGCAATGCTGGGCCGTACAGCTTCTTCTCGGGCCGCACGATTGACAACTTCTCACCTTTCTACCTCACTGTGGGGGCAAGGTGAGCGGACAGTTTATCTACCCAACACCCCACCCAAGAGGCCACCTCTCCTGCTTGCTCCTTTTCTTTCCACCCACTTATATTCCCCTTACCTTCTCTCCATCCGCTCCCCTCTCCCTCCTCCCGCTACCCCCTCCCACCTCCAATTCCTCCCTGCAGCACCATCGGCCGAGGCGGTCTAACCCTCAAGGCCACCACACCAGCAGCAGCAGCTCTCACCAACTCATCCTCCTCCTCCTCAGCCGCCCCTGCAGCCACCGCCTACCCCTCCATCGCTGATTTCTCCTCCACAGGGCCCCTCGCAGACCCTTCCACAGACGTCACCGGCGCTCTCCCCACCAACAGCATCTTAAAGCCCGACATTGCTGGCCCGGGCGTGGACCTATACGCTGCGTGGCCTGCTGAGAAGGTCGGGAAACCCGGGACTTACGCGCAGCTGTCGGGGACGTCGATGGCGACGCCTCACTTGGCGGGTATTGCGGCTCTCATCATGCAGAAGTATCCCAAGTGGAGCCCCGCGCAGGTCATGTCGGCCATTATGACCACCGCCAAGACCACTGACACGAGTGGCGCTGCTATCAAGAATGATTATGGCGAGGTTGCTACTCCGTGGGATATGGGAGCAGGTCACGTGTTCCCATCCAAGGTGCTGGATCCGGGGCTTACGTTCGATGCTCGGGCAGCTGCGTATCGGAATTTTCTTGCTGGGCAGAGTATGAAACGGGCGCAGAAGGAGTTTCCGGGTGCTACCCTCACTGCGATTGCTCCCCGCGAATTGAACCGTCCAAGCATCTCTATCTCGCGACTGAAAGGGACGCTGTCAGCAACGAGGACCGTGACGAGTGTTCTTGGTGCGTCGGCCACATTCACTGCTACCATCAAGCCTCCTAAAGGCGTGGACGTGACGGTTTCACCGAGTAAATTCACCATTGCCAAGGATGGGAAGGTCACCTTCACGGTGACCTTCAAGGTGACTAAGACATACGAGGATTTCCAGTTTGGAAGCCTAACATGGGCTGATGGGAAAGGGCACTCGGTGAGAATGGTGCTGGCAGTTCAGCCCACCAAGTTGTGAGCGAGGGCATACTATTCCATGTAATGAGATCGACGGAATGTATCCCGTTGGTCAGGGTTGCCTTAGAGTTAATACAAATTGTTGAACTGCTGCTGCGGTCCATTGTGTGGTGCCATGCTTATGAATGCTTCACTAGCACATGGCTGGTTGTATTGTATAGTGCTATAGTGTGATCAGTGCTGAAATGATCAGATAAAGATTTCACTCCCCCAGTTTTCAAGGCTTTTTACGTAATCGTACTTTCACTCGGATGCAGAAATTGTAGGGTGATCCTGAAGTTGAGGGTGTAGATAGTGGGTAGATCGCGCCAGGGAAGGCATGCCCTTGCTGATTGGGCTAACACGAAGCGCAGTTCACTCGAAGTCCGATTCGGTTAGCGGATGACGGTGTCGCACATGTCACCATCACTCTCTAGCGGGGAATTCGCTGTATGCTCGTCCCAACACGTTGGAACAGCTGCGATTACTATCGCCACAAAATTAGCCGCTGGCGTCTCCATATGAATGGCTAACGTGATCTGCGAAACTGGCCGCCCAGGTTACAGGCATAACGAATCTCGAAACTCATCTCGCCAAACGATTTTGCGAGCCGGCCTCCCCAAATCGCCCCTTTCTTTCAGATCTTCCGCGCGCCGTCACACGACTCTCACTTTACCCACAATCCCAATCCCAAATCCTAAAACTTTCACTTCAGTTATCGCTTCGAGCAAAGCAAGATCCAGCCACACGCTGTAACACGCACCACTAACAGCAAGCGACCCGCCGCCTGTGACGCCACACACACACATCTGACGAATCGGTTCGACACAGTGCACTCGCGTGCGATATGTGTACGGATGCATCATTCGCTCGTGTAGTGGCCACGAGAATCACCTATCCTGATGCCGACCCCTTTGCCTCGCTAATACCACGTAGTCCGCGCACGTACGATTTAGCCGACGCCGCTACTACTTGGCAGAAGTAGCGAGCAGGAGTCGTTAGCGCAGACCGGCCAGACTCTGCGCAATGGCTAACCTTGTCATCCTCGTGTCGTCACTGCTGCTGCTCGCAGCGCTACCGACACCCACACGATCCCACGGATCTGGCGAGCCGCAAATCACGCCACCCGGGGCATCTCGCGACGCGGACGCCAGTATGTACATCGTGCGCCTGCGGTCCGCGCCCCCGCTCGCCGCATACCGCGGCGAAATCGCCGGCTATCCCGCCATCGTCGCTACCAGCAGCGGCGACGACCCTGGCGACGGCGACGGGGAAGACGACTCATGGGCGGCGTTGCAGCGGTCCGTTGGCGCGACGACGGGCTCCGGGAATTCGCGAAGCGAAGCGGACAGCAGCTCGGGGAATCCGACGCTCGAAAATCCGGGCAGTCTGAAGGAGGCTTCGGGAAATCCCGCGGCTGGGCGGGCGCGGATGAGCATGCGCGCTCCCCATGTGCGCGCGTACGCGGAGATGCTGGCGCGGATGCAGGCGGAGGTTGCTTCGGAAGTCGGTATCGTGGCGGATAATATCGCGTACAGGTAGGGCACTTGTCGCACGCAACATCGTTAGAATAGGCCTGAACACCAAAAAAACAAATTCCCCTTACAATATCACATGTGCTTTTCATACACATACGCGCACACCAACATTTAGAGCTTGACGCGAAATTAATGAACCAGCCCTCCCTCCTCTCCCCATCTACTCCGCGCACGAATCAGCTACAAGCACGTCACCAACGGATTCGCCGCGCTGCTCTCCCCCGCGCAGCTCGCCACCCCGCCGTCGCCTCCGCGCGCCCCAGCCGCCCGCTCCGCCCCGACACCATCGACTCCCCCGCATTCCTAGGGCTCGCGGAACGCTCAGGCGCGCAAAACCGCGCCAACCACGGAAGCGGGGGGATGTGGCGCGCGCTTGGCGGGCAGCAGCGGGCGGGGGAAGGGATGGTGGTGGGGGTCATAGACTCAGGGATTTGGCCCGAGCATCCGTCGTTTAGCGACAGGAACTTCAGCGCGAGCCGGCCAAATGGATGGTCAGGATCGTGCGATGCCACGTCAGACTTCCGGTGCAACAACAAGATAATCGGGGCGCGGATTTTCAACGCGGCATTTCGAGCGAAGCACCGGAAACCAGATCTGACCACCGATTGGCTTTCGCCGCGAGATGGATTCGGGCATGGCACCTGGTGTGCTGGGTAAGTCGGCAGTATACCCCTGGCTAGGTCATCCCATTGCTGCACTACCATTCCCAGCATACGCCTTTCCCATTCCCCATACACTGCGTAGTCTTCCTTCTACCTACCACGCGCGACCCCTGCCATCACCCATCCCCACTCCACTCCACCCCTACCCACCCACCCTCACCCTCACTGTCCCCCCAGCCCCCCACCACACACGCCCACTCTTATACCCGCCTTCCCTCCTTCCTGCTCTGCTCCCCACCTCATCCACTCATCCCCCCCCCTCCTTCATCCATCCCCCCCCCCCTCCTTCATCCATCCTCCCCCCCTCCTTCATCCATCCTCCCCCCCTCCTTCATCCATCCTCCCCCCCTCCTTCATCCACCCCCCCCCTTCCCCCATCCACCCCCCCTCTTCCCCCATCCATCACCCCCCCTTCCCCCATCCATCCCCCCCCCTTCCCCCATCCATCACCCCCCCTTCCCCCATCCATCCCCCCCCCTTCCCACATCCATCCCCCCCATCCCCCATCCATCCCCCTTCACAGCGCGGCAGCGGGCAACAGCGGGGTGCCCATGGCGGGCGGCAGGGCGAGCGGCATGGCGCCAGCAGCGCGCCTCGCAGCCTACAAGGTCTTCTGGTACTCCCGAGGCGACCGCCCGGAGTTCCGAGCGCTGGGCGGCGAATCTGCGGATCTTCTGGCGGCGGTGAATCAGGCTGTAGCGGACGGCGTGCATGTGCTGTCCATTTCTCTCTCGGCCGACGACCCTGAAACCACGTACTTTGATGACGTGGCATACATGAACGCAAATCTGGTGCGTTGACTTGAGTTGACCCTCAGGGGCAAGGGGGGGGGGGGGTGTGACCTGGAAATGGGAGGTGGGGAGTGAATCAGGCTGTAGCGGACGGTGTGCATGTGCTGCCCATCTCCCTCTCGGCCGACGACCCCGATGCCACGTACTTTGATGACGTGGCATACATGAAGGCAAACCTGGTGCGTTGACTTGAGTTGACTCGGGGCAGGGGGGGAGCTTTGGCCTGGAGATTAGGTGGGTGGGGGAGAGGGGAGGAAAGGGAAAAGAGACAAATACAGGGCCTTCTGGTCATCGTAAGGCTCTCGCCGCAACATGGGGGTGGGGGTTTGGATGGGAGACGGTGTCCATGTGCTCCCCATATAGCTCCGTGCCTCCGTGTTCTGATGAAAGCAGGCTGGGGTAGCAGTGCTCGTGTTACCGGGCAGAAACAGTCACCGTGTGAGGGCATCCGCTGTCCTCCCTCACCAGATCCCTCCCCCTCACACTCTCCCCTCCGTCCCTGCAGGCGGGGGTAACGGTGGTGATGTCAGCGGGCAATGACAGTTTCTACATGAGGTCGTACCTCTATTCTCTCACCAACTCCTCTCCCCGTCTCTCTTCTCCTTTCCTCCCTCACACTCTTCTCTCCGTCCCTTCAGGCGGGTGTAACGGTGGTGATGTCAGCGGGCAACAACGGGGCGCCTCTTTCAAACCCCCTGGGCACATACCGCACCATCACCAACTTCTCGCCCTTCTACCTCACCGTGGGGGCAAGGTGAGCCTCCCTGTCTCCGCCCCTCTCTACCCACCTATCTCTCTCCACCTGTGCCCCTGCACAGCCCGTTGAGAACATACCGCACCATCACCAACTTCTCGCCCTTCTACCTCACCGTGGGGGCAAGGTGAGCCTCCCTGTCTCCGCCCCTCTCTACCCACCTATCTCTCTCCACCTGTGCCCCTGCACAGCCCGTTGAGAACATACCGCACCATCACCAACTTCTCTCCCTTCTACCTCACCATGGGGGCAAGGTGAGCCTCCCTGTCTCCGCCCCTCTCTACCCACCTATCTCTCTCCACCTGTGCCCCTGCACAGCCCGTTGAGAACATACCGCACCATCACCAACTTCTCTCCCTTCTACCTCACCGTGGGAGCAAGGTGAGCCTCCCTGTCTCGGCCCCTCTCTCTCTACCTACCTATTTCTCTTTTTTGGGTCGACTCAAAAATGTTGATTTTTGAGTCGACTCAAAAATCAACTACCTATTTCTCTTTTTTGAGTCGACTCAAAAATCAACTACCTATTTCTATTTTTTGAGTCGACTCAAAAATCAACTACCTATTTCTCTTTTTGAGTCGACTCAAAAATCAACAAGGTGAGCCTCACTGTCTCGGCCCCTCTCTCTCTACCTACCTATTTCTCTCCACGTCTGCTCCTGCACAGCCCTTATAGAACATACTGCACCATCACCCACTTTTCTCCCTTATACCTCCCCGTGGGGGCAAGGTGAGTTACGGCATCATTCCTCCCTGTTGCCTTCAGATGCGCCCCTCCCACCACCACCATAGCCCCATTCCCTCCCCATTCCTTTCCTCTCCCTCATCCTCCCTTCCTCTCCTCCCTCCTCTCTACCCCCCTGTGCCAGCTCCATTACACGAGGAGGCGTATCCCTCGCCTCTTCTCCTGCATCAGACGAAGAACACAGGAGCAGTGAAGCAGAAACTGACAATCAGCTGGAAGCGGAAACACACCAGAACACTTCAGCAGCCATTGCCACAGTAGGGGCCGATTCAACAGACTCCACAACAGCCAGCAGCAGCAGCGCTGAATCACCACCGCAACCTGCTTCATCCATCACAGTAGCACCCTCATCTGCCACCGCCCTTGCTCCACCCGCTCCAGTCGTGGCTGCCTTCTCCTCCTCCGGCCCTCTCCACCGCCCCTGGTCCCGCCCTCCCCCAGGCCACGCCACCAACAGCCTCTTAAAGCCCGACGTCATCGGCCCAGGGGTCGACCTCTGGGCGGCATGGGTCGGCACGGTTCCAGGGAAGGCAGGGGGGAGGGGCGGGCGAGGGGGGGAGGCTTTGCAAATGTCGGGGACGTCGATGGCGACGCCTCACTTGGCGGGCATTGCTGCTCTCATCATGCAGAAGTACCCCAAGTGGAGCCCCGCGCAGGTCATGTCCGCCATTATGACCACCGCCATAACTCGGAACACCAAGGGGAGGCGCATTTTGAATGATCGCGGTGTGGCTGCTACCCCTTGGGAGATGGGATCCGGGCATGTGTTTCCCAGGAGGGCTTTAAACCCTGGGCTGACGTACGATGCCCGGAGATGGGCTTATGTGAATTTTCTTGCCGGGCAGGATTATCGGGCAGCCAAGAAGGAGTTTCCGGGTACGAAGATTTACCGGAAGAAGGCGTGGAATTTCAACCTCCCAACGATTTCGGTGGCGAGGTTGAAAGGGACAGTGGATGTGTTTAGAACGGTGGTGAGTGTTGCGAGTTTGAGTTGCACGTACAAGGCACGTGTGACTGAGCCTCCAGGAGTTCGGATCATGGTTCAGCCAGGCCATTTCACAATTTATCCTGGAAAAGCAGTCACGTATCGGGTCGTGATGAACGTCACTAGACCGTACAAGACCTTCCAGTTTGGAAGCCTTATTTGGGAAGACGATAAAGGGCACGCAGTGAGATCTGCTATTGTTGTACAGGCAATATCGTCAATAAAATAAATCAAATTGTGTGCTACTATTTTGTTGTTGTATATTGTATATCATTTATGCTACTTGTTTACACTGCATCAGCAATTGAGCTGGCACGCATTTCTTCCAGCAAATCAGGTCGCAGGAGGTCAACACTAGCGTCCGAATTTGTTCTGGAGACTCGAGAAAGGTCACTGATCTGATGTGTACAATTTTCGGCCTCTAGTCAGAAAAGCGAGAAATTGTTCTTGTGCCAGCATGGAAAGTTCCTCTGTCGAACTGACGTGTAACACCTACACGCGAGAGTTCGAAACACATCCCTCCAGCATGGCAGCCAGAGATCTTCGCCACGTCTCACTGATGAATTTGATGGTCATCTTTGACTGTGGGCTTTTCTCGAGCAACTCCACTCTCTTCCAATTCGCGACTCGACGGAGTTCAAGAAGACACATAAAATGAGGCGAGCGAGCATCCTTCATCTATGTCAACGATCAAGCCTTCACATCTTCACGATACACATCTTTCAGCTCTTACGAACCTTGAACTCTTCACCAGCCTCCCCACAAACACTTTAACAATGGCTACCTCCCTCGCTGTCCGCCAGGCCGTTGCCGCTCTCTCCTTCAGTACCGCAGTTAAAGGCGCTGCTCTGTCTACCAACCGTGTAGTAGTTGCCGCCCCGATCGCCCCACGCGGTCTCAGCGTCTCGGCCCTCCTGAATTTCAGCAGGTCCGCGGCTCCCTCTAAGAACGTCCCCGTAAAGAAGCAGCTACGATCAGAGGACGGAATTTTCGGCACGTCGGGCGGTTTCGGCTTCACGAAGGCCAACGAGCTCTTCGTGGGCCGTGTCGCGATGCTCGGCTTCGCCGCTTCGCTCCTGGGCGAGGCCGTCACCGGACAAGGCATTCTCTCGCAACTCAACCTCGAAACCGGCATTCCCATCACGGAAGCCGAGCCGCTCCTCCTCTTCTTCATCGCATTCACCGTGCTCGGCGCGATCGGCGGGCTGGGCGATCGCGGGCGATTCGTGGACGACGAGCCGGTGGGGCCACCCGTGAAGCCCGGGAGTTTCAAGGCAGCGCTTGGTCTGAGCGAGGACGGGCCGCTGTTCGGGTTCACCAAGGCGAACGAGCTTTTCGTGGGGCGCATGGCGCAGCTCGGGTTTGCTGCGTCGCTGATCGGCGAGGTGGTGACGGGACGGGGCGCATTGGCGCAGTTGAACATTGAGACGGGGCTGCCGGTCTGGGAGCTGGAGCCGCTGCTGCTCGCGAGCATCGCATTCTTCTTCGTCGCGGCGATTAACCCCGGTACTGGCAAGTTCATTAACGACGAGGAGTGAAAGTGTTCCCAAGCGCTGTACTAAGAATATGTACATATACGTTATCTTGTTAGTGCTTCCTATCAAAACATAATGAAATCGTCTTTATATAGATTCTGCGTTTTCTCTCGGAGGTCCTTTCTGAGTTACCGTTCCCAGTGTCGGTCGCCGAGTCGCCATTTCTTGTGTAATCCCGTTGTACATTCCTACAATTTTTTTGAACTTGGAGAAAGGTAACTGGATTTGCACATTTCGCAATCAGAGTTTGATGGGTAGGAATGTGTCTGGGGAAGATATTGGTGTTTCACGCCGTACTACATCTTACTAAAAATGAAGCGTCCAGAAGTTTGGCGTGTTGTAAAGGACTCTCCTCTACTTTACAGGAACTGGGATTTGAACTAATCACTAGAGCACACTCTGCTGGCTTTCCAACGAGCCGTCAAACACGTGATTTGACCAAGTATCGGCTGAGATACGGCTTTCAACGTGCTAGGTAGTGCTCTAAGATTGAAGGATAGAAAGTCTCTGGATTTTGTGTCGAGTTGAACTGTGTATAGGAAACTCTGATTTTCAGTATGAAACATGCAATACAAAGCAACTAGTTTTATAGCATGCAATCAACATCGAACCGCGTTCGTAACATCGCATCGCTATACTTCGCGAATGTTCTCGTAACATTTCGAAGGGCTGAAATTCGACTCTCGAATTTCACCGAATCGAATTCTCCCTGAGTCTCGATTCTTCTTGTGCTGCCATGTGGAACCGAAGTGCAGGTTCTTCCGAAGTCAATCCCAACTTCTTGGAACCTGCAGCACATTCGGTGGGTTGGGGGCAAAACCTAGCCCCACGCAACCTCCAACATGGCGCATGCAAAAATACAACAGTATCAAAAACTCTTATGATTCACCTAAAATAATACAAGTTATCACTCGCATACAAGCTCACTTCTTTATGGGTTGAACTGCGAGCACCATTCTCACTGAGTGTCCTTTATCATCAACCCAAGTCAGGCTTCCAAACTGAGTGTTGTTAGACTGCTTGGTCACCTTGAATGTCACCACAAAAGTGACCTTCTTACCCTGAGCAATGGTGAATTTGTCGGGTGAAACCGCGACAGAGACGCCATTAGGAGGCTTGATGTTAGCTGAATATGTGGACGTCGAATCAGCAACGCTCGTAACTGTTCTGCTTGCTGTCACCATCCCTTTCAGTCGCGAAACTGAGATGCTTGGACGGTTCAACTCGCGCGGAGCAACCGCAGTCAGCTTAGCGTTTGGAAAGTGCCTCCGTGCCCGTCTCATACTCTGCCCAGCCAGAAAATTCCGATATGCGGCTGCCCGAGCGTTGAAAGTCAGCCCAGGATCCTGCACCTTCCGTGGGTACACATGACCAGCACCCATATCCCAAGGAGTAGCAACCTCGCCATAACCATTCTTAATAGCAGCACCGCTGGTGTCAGTGGTCTTGGCGGTGGTCATAATGGCCGACATGACCTGCGCGGGGCTCCACGTGGGGTGCTTCTGCATGATGAGAGCAGCGATGCCCGCCAAGTGAGGCGTCGCCATCGACGTCCCCGACATTTGTGCGAAGCTGCCCGGCTTGCCGACCTTCGAGCCCGGGGCAGCAGCGTATAGGTCCACGCCCGGGCCGACAATGTCGGGCTTTAAGATGCTGTTGGTGGGGAGAGCGCCGGTGGCATCGATTTCAGGGTTGCAGAGGGGTCCTGTGGAGGAGAAATCGGCGATGGAGGGGTAAGCTGTGGCTGCTGGAGTTGATGAGGAGGATGAGTTGCTGCGGCTGCTGCTGCTGCTGCTGCTGTGGTGGCCTTGAGGGTTAGACCGCCTCGGCCTATGGTGCTGGGGGAAGAATCGGGGGATGGGACGAGGGGGAGGGAAGTGGGAAAGGGGAGAGAGCGGGGAGATTAAGAGGGGAATGTAAGTGGGGAGCGAGGGAAGAGAGAGGTGGGACGAGTGGGATGAGGGGAGGGAAGGCTTACCTAGCCCCTACTGTGAGGTAGAAAGGTGAGAAGTTGTCGATTGTGCGGAAATAACCAGGATCCCAGTAGCCGGGCGAGCCAGCATTTCCTGCTGCAAATGACACAAACACCCCGGCCTGCGCCACCAAGGAGAAGGAGAAACCGGGAGAAGGAAAGGGAAGCGCGAAGAGAGTGTGAGCGCGAGTGAGGCATGGAAGACGTGATGCGCATCAGGCATGCGACCTTCCGGCATGGCGGCATGGAGGCATGGAGGCATGGAGATCTTCCGTTCATCACAGCATTGTTTTTGTGACCTTCTGCCCCTTTCCTTTCCGTGATGCAGGCTTGGAAAGATGGGGAGGAGGGGCAGCATCAGGCTGCAGCAGGGGAAGCACCAGGCTGGCGCTCAGACACACCGTACGACAGACAAATTCATCAACAAAACGTACCAGGTTCGCACTGAGATACGACATGTGGTCGAAGTAAGTTTCCTTGTTATCCATGCCACCCAGCGAGATGGAGAGCACATCCACACCGTCCGCTACCGCCTGGTTGACAGCAGCTTCAATGTCCGCCCATGTGCCGGTAAGAGAGCCTTCAGAGTACCAGAGAACCTTGTACATTGCCAGGCGCGCTGCTGGCGCCATGCCGCTCGCCTTGCCGCCCGCCATGGGTACGTCCTTGTTGCCCGCTGCCGCACTGCAAAGGGGGAGGGGGCGAGGGATGTAAAAAAAGGGATACAGACAGTGAGAGGACTCATCATGGTGACATTAAAAAACCCGAGCGAGCGGGGCCGACACGTCTGGGTGCGGTCTGAACACTGAAGCATGGCAGCTGACAGGTAAAGGTCAAGCCTTTGACATCTCCAAAACCGGGTGAAGTCAAGACACGAACCTTGCACACCATGTGCCATGGCCATGTGAATCCCGGGGAGACAACCAATCCGAAGACAGGTCCGGGTCGCCGTTAGACTTCTTAAAGCCCTTGTAGAATGCCCTTCCGCCGATGACCTTGTTGTTGCACTTGAAATCGCTTGTAGATTCACATTTCCCCGACCAGCCGGCGGGCTTCGAGGAGGGGAAGCCGGCATCGCTGAAGGAGGGGTGTTCCGGCCAGATGCCCGTGTCCACCACGCCCACCACCATGCCCTTGCCCGCGCTCGCCTGCCCGCCATTGGCGGGCCACAGCGACCCGGGGGCGCGCATGCCCATGAAGGTGGGCGAGTCGATGGTGAGGGGGGTGACTCTGCAGCTGCGCGTCACTGCCGCCACTGCCGGGTGCCGCTGCAGCCGCCACACCTGCTGCGGGGAGAGGGCCGCTGCGAACCCGTTGCTCGCGTGCATGTAGCTGGCGGGTGGGAAGAGGGGGGAGCGGAAGTGGGGAAGTGCACGGTGGCCGAGGGGAAGGGATGGAAAGGATAGCCATGATTGGTATGGGATAGTGCCACGGACTCCAAAAACAGGTTCCCAGACGCGCCACATACTTGTAAACGATGTGCTCTGACGTCACGCCCACGTCAGACGCAACTTGGGTCTGCTGCGTCTCGAGCATCTGCGCGTACGCCTTGAGTTGCGGGTTATCCATGCTCAGCCGCGCGCGCCGCGGAATGCTGCCGCCCAGCGTCGCCGCCTCGTGCGCCACCGTCGCCGCCGTCGCACGCAGACCTGATGCACTTGCAGCATTTTCGTCTTCGTCCGTCCATCCCGGGAAGCTCGCGATTCCGCCGCGATACGCGGCGAGGGGAAGAGCAGAGCGCAGGCGCACGATATAGAGCGACTTGGACTCGAGAGTAGGCGCTGCGATTGGCGGGGGTGGGAAAGGGGGGAGAGGCGCAGGTGAGAAAGAAAATGTGGAGCGGAATGCATCTGGAACCCAAAGTTTGAGTGATGTAGAGGAAACTTGATAGCAGGACGCAATGACGTGGCTTACGGTGAGCTCGCCGAATGGCGAGGCATTGACACGTGGAAGAAAGGAGAAGCGCGATTGAGAGGACTCCTCGGAGGAATCCGACGTGGCCCGTCATTGTGCCGCACCTGGCGGGTTGAATCTGAGCGGAATCTGCGGGCGTCAAGCTAGAGGCTGGGGATATAGGCTGATATGGTGGAGCGCTACAGGGAACGCTATCTGGAATTTTGTAACTCAAAATTATTTTTGTTACTAATTTCCGTTTTTTGGTAGGTTGGCGCGCGAGTGCGTAAGCAGCACAGATTTTAATCGCGAGGCAGATATATATTAAAAGAACGGCGCGCAGGAGGCCGACGTTTCGAAGTCAGTTGAGCGCGAGGCGACGCGAGGCTTCACAATGCAGAAGTAGGTGCTTCAAATGCAGTTTCTGAATGCAGTGCGACATAAATAGCTGTGAGAATAGCACTTGATGTGCCTGGCAGGAGAACATGTTTTCCGATTTTTGTTAGCCGGACAGCTGAGTCATGATGAATTTCTCGATGCAGCCGAGACGCGCCGGTCGCAAATTCTCGGCGACGGACATTTGACTGAGACGACATGCGTGGTTACTCCAGCGCCATCCACGGAGCTTCGCCACCCGGCGAGCCGTTCCCCATACTTGTTGGAACAGAGTTGACTTTGATTTTGCCCTGCATCGCGAAATTCTTCATCGCACCGATAACCCGGTACTGAGAAGTTCGTGAATGGTGAGGAGTAAAAATGATAACTATAGTCGTTTGCAATGAAAAAAAAAGGCTTTGCTGTTAAACGACACAAGACATTTGCATATCAACGAGACAGTTCACAGTATAACTACTTCCCAGTTTCATTCTTGCACAGCTCCAACCTATGCTGTGGCTGGTCTCCCATCCCGCCCAAATGTCCAAGCCAATTCTGTCAAACGAGTAAAACCAAATAATACATTATATACACTAACAGCTTTGTACAATAATGTCAAGTTATATTATATCCTGCTTACGATAGTTACTGTAGTTATTATAATGAACTGTTGGTGGTACACCTTCTTTGCATGCTGTGTTTCCTATTTGTACCTTGCTCAATAGTGAACTTTCCCTCCTTTGCCCAACTTACATCTCGTTACTCTCAACTCTCACCTAGGCTAGGGTTTCACCTAAGCCTAGGTTCCTCTTCTATTTCTAACAAATAAGCAGACCCAGCATGCATCCATCACACATTCCAGGAGAATTCTCATATCAAACGCATCGTTCAGAATCGCAATTGGGGGTACCATCTAAGAACCCCTAGCAAAGCCCAGCCAGACGCTCAGCGAAGCAGCATGCAAACAGCTATCCACAAAATCACTGCCCACCATCCCCCGCTCCACACACTTCACTTGCCACTGCAGGGGCAGCAAGGCTAGGGTGACGCTACTTGCTGTGGGGGCAGCACGCGGAAGAGAGGCGTGCCGTCTGCCACCTGCTGCCCCACTCACCCCCTTCTCTCCCACCTACTCCTCCACCACCACGCCGTGCTCCTACCCCTGGCAGCAGCAAGGCTAGGTTGACGCTGCTTGTTCTGGGGGCAGCACGCGGAAGAGAGGCATACCGTCTGCCACCTGCTGCCCCACTGTCACTCTCACGTCGGCCAACACGCCTGACTGCCGCGCCTTCACTGAATGCTGCTTGTATGGGGCAGAGGGAAATGGGGCGAGGGGAGGAGGTGGGGGGAGGAAGGGGGTGTAGCAATGAGGTGGGAGAAGGGTTTAGGTGGGGGAAGTGCCACACGCACCTCTTGCAAATGATAAGGCCTCACCACATCATCACGAATCACCACGCATCACCACGCATTACCTCTCATCACCGCTCCTCTCTGCTCACCTCCATCTTCATGGACTCGAGGATAACCACCACGTCCCCCTTGCGCACAGATGCACCCTCCTCATATGCCACCCGCACCACCCTCCCCGCCATCGGCGTTACCACCACGCCCCTCCCATGCCCATGCCCATGGGTGTGCCCATGCCCATGCGCATGACCATGCACGTCGTCATAGTCGTCGTGGTCGTCGAGGGGGAAGGGGGCGATGGAGGGGCAAGGGGAGGAGAATTGGTGGTGGTGGCCGCCCACCCACACGTGGGTGATGATGCTGTCAGGCTGATGGGTGCGTAGTGGGGGAGTGGAGGGGTGGGAGGTTGGGGGGTTGGGGGGAGCATTGAAACGAGCTGAAGAAGGAGCAGGGGAAAAGGGGATGAGAAAGAGGAGCAGGGGAAAAGGGGAGGAGAAAGAGGAGCAGTGTACGAAGGGGAGAATTTGAGAAAGGAACCCCTACTTTTCTCCATCTCCCCCACCCCATCCCCTCCCACTCCCTTATTCCACCCCCACTCCTATTTCCTCTGACGCCTTGATTCCCCTCCACACCGCTTGCCACCCACATGCTCTCTTGGAAGAATGACACGTGGCTCCTCTTCCCCCTTCACGCACATTCCACCCACCATCTCCCCCCACCACACCACTCCCACTCCCCCCACCACACCGCTCCCACTCCCCCCCACCCCTATTGACCCCACTCACTGTGCTCTCTTGGAAGAACGACACGCGGCTCCGCTCCCCCCCCACCTCCACTTCCACCCGCCGCCCCTCCCTGTCCACCACCCAACCAGACGCTGCCACGTGTCTCCCATCCGCCAGTCCAACCGTGAAGCTCCCATCCGTCTCGTACCTCACCCACCCGTCTACCACCCCTCCATTACCCGTCCCCTCCGGGCCCCCTTCCCCCTCCTCCGCCTCTTCCCCCTCTTCCCCGTCGTCCCCCTCCCCCTCCGCGCCACCCCCCTCCCCCAGGCAGGGGGAGAGCGCGAAGGGGCGCGAGTAGAAGTAGTTGGGGCGGAACCCAGAGGCGGACGACCAGGGGGAAAGGGGGGAAGGGGTTGAAGGGGGAGAATCGGGGGAAGACAACAAGCCACCACCCTGCTCCCTCCATCTCTCCACCACACATTGACACACCATTGCTGCCACTGCTGCTCCCTCAACCCCAGTGAGAGGCAAAACCCCACACTCCGCCCTCTCCGCTCCTGCCACTCGCCCCCCTGCTGCTGTTTCTGCTTCCGCTGATCCCCCCCCTCCCCCTGCTGCCGCTGACGTCACTTGTGACGTCATCAGCTCGTCGTGGTGGCGCTGAATGAAGTGCGTGTCCACGTCAGCGCTCTCGAATCCCGCATGGCACGCGACAGCCTGGAGCAGCGCGAGATTGGTCGGCACGCCCGCCACCTCGTAGCGCCCTAGGGATTGCCGCAGCAGCTGCAGCGCCGCGCTGCGATTGGCCGCTGACACCACCAGCTTGGCTATCATTGGGTCGTAGAAGGTGCTGACGTCATCGCCCTCCTGCACCCCCGTTTCGACCCGGACTGATAGGAGGGGAGAGGGGACGGAGGAAATGAGGAACAGAGGGGAAAGGGAGAAAGGGGGGATGAGGGAGGGGGAGGGAATGAAACACAGCTGCTGCAGCTGGATGGGGGAGCTGGAGGCTGCTTATTGGCTGCTTCAAGTCACGTGATGTTCATAATTGAGTCCACGCAGGAGGACACTGCAGAAAGGTTAAGCTGTGGCAGTTGCTTTTGAGTCGACTCAAAAGCTTAAGCTGTGGCAGTTGTAACATTTCCACAGTGTCGTCCTGCGTGGACTGAACCGTGTATATCACGCGACTTAAATCAGCCCAACATGCAGCCTCCAGCCCCACACCCTCGTTATAATCACGCTCACCACACCCCATCATTACAATCACAATGACCCCCCTCCCCCACCCACCGCAAGCAGAGGGTTCCGGAGTGCGCAGGTGCAGCAGCGGCCCAGCAGCTGGCAGGAAGCCTCTGGGAACGTTCTCAGCATACACCCGCGCCTCAAAGGCGTGCCCGGTCAGCTTCAGGTCCCCCTGGGCGAGCGGGAGGGGCTCCCCCCGTGCCACACGCACCTGCCACTCGACCAGGTCTTGCCCTGTTACCATCTCTGTCACTGGGTGCTCCACCTGCGGTAAGGGGGAGTAAGATGAGGGGCGGAGGAAAGGAGCGGAGAGCCTGGGGTCCCCCTGGGCGAGCGGGAGGGGCTCCCCCCCTGCCACTCGCACCTGCCACTCGACCAGGTCTTGTCCTGTTACCATCTCCGTTACTGGGTGCTCCACCTGCAGGGACGAGGAGAGCGAAGGGCAGGGTATGGGAATGTTGTGGGGTTGTCCTCAAAGGCGTGGCCTGAGAGGGTGTGGTCGCCCTGGGATAGAGGGAGGGGCTCCCCCCGTGCCACTCGCACCTGCCATTCTACTAGGTCTTGTCCTGTTTCCCTTTCTGTTACTGGATGCTCCACCTGAGAGGAAGAGAAGAAAGAAGGGCAGGGGTGGAGGGTGATGGGGAGCAGCAGTTGCGTTTCCTACTCCCTTTTCCCGCACATCGGCACACATGCACGAGTGACCTCACCTGCAGGCGTGTGTTCATCTCCATAAAGAAGAACTCGTTTGTGTCACAGTCGATTATAAACTCCACCGTGCCCGCCCCCTCGTACCCCACTGCCTGAACACACATGCAGATACACACACGGACACACACACACGGCATACATGCATGCACAGGTAATGAAAGAAGAACTCGTTAGTGTCACAGTCGATTATAGACTCCACCGTGCCTGCGCCTTCATACCCCACTGCCTGTTACACCGCACACACCGACATGCGGACACATGTATGTATGTATGTATGTATGTATGTATGTATGTATGTATGTATGTATGTATGTATGTATGTATGTATGTATGTATGTATGTATGTATGTATGTGTGTGTGTGTGTGTGTATGTGTGTATGTGTGTATGTGTGTATGTGTGTATGTGTGTATGTGTGTATGTGTGTATGTGTGTATGTGTGTATGTATGTATGTATGGCAGGAGAGGGAGGGGAGGATGGTGTAAGCGTGACACGCGGGCGGACTGAAAGACATCGTGCCTGCCCCCTCAAACCCCACCGCCTGCACATGATCGTACACGGAGACTGAACACATTCAGCTTTTGAGTCGACTCAAACGAATACATTCACACACACACGCACATATGTTACATGTGATATCACACATACGCCTGGAACACACGCACGGACATGGCAGCAGATGTAAGATTGACATTAGAATGTCAGCGTGTGTTCCAGGCGTATGTAAGCATTAGATGTCAGCATAACACCCCTCGTCCCCCCTGTCCCCCGTGTCCCCCCTGTCCCCCGTGTCCCCCCTGTCCCCCGTGTCCCACTGGCCCACCCTCTGCTCCAAATTCCCCTCCCCGACCCACCTTGGCAGCGTCAACAGCAGCGGAGCAGATCTTCTGCCTGAACTCCTCCGATATGCCTGGCTGGAAGGGCAGTAAGTGCGAAAAGGGGGAAGGCATTAGAGGAAGGGGGAAGGAGGGGTGTACGTTGGGAGGGGGGTTGGGAGCTGAGCTGCTGAGGTTGGGAGGGGGGTTGGGAGCTGAGCTGCTGAGGTTGGGAGGGGGGTTGGGAGCTGAGCTGCTGAGGTTGGGAGGGGGGTTGGGAGCTGAGCTGCTGAGGTTGGGAGGGGGGTTGGGAGCTGAGCTGCTGAGGTTGGGAGGGGGGTTGGGAGCTGAGCTGCTGAGGTTGGGAGGGGGGTTGGGAGCTGAGCTGCTGAGGTTGGGAGGGGGGTTGGGAGCTGAGCTGCTGAGGTATACAGGAACGACCAGAGTGATACGGCAAGATGGTGGGGCGGGGAAAAGTGTACGAGGGGGGACGCGTCAAGCGAGAAAGGAAAGCAAAAGAATGAGGGTGATCATAACTGAAGGGGCTCGCACAATGGGGACAAATGAAAGGCTCGCACATTCAAGTTGGCAGAGGGTGCTTAGCAGCAGAGGGTGCTTAGCAGCAGAGGGTGCTTAGCAGCAGAGTGTGCTTACAGCAGAGTGTGCTTACAGCAGAGTGTGCTTACAGCGGGCGCCTCTTCAATGATCTTCTGGTGCCGTCGCTGCACGCTGCAGTCCCTCTCAAAGAGATGCACCACGTTGCCGTGCTTGTCTGCAAACACCTGTGAGAGAAGAAGGGATAGATGGGAGGTTTAGACAGACCGACCTCCTGGATGTTCCCACGGTGCATGAGTACTTGTCGAACTTGACAGCTAGAATCAGCTTGTCTGCAAACACCTGTGAGAGAAGAAGGGATAGATGGGAGGTTTAGGCAGACCGACCTCCTGGATGTTCCCACGGTGCATGAGTACTTGTCGAACTTGACAGCTAGAATCAGCTTGTCTGCAAACACCTGTGAGAGAAGAAGGGATAGATGGGAAGTTTAGGCAGACCGACCTCCTGGATGTTCCCACGGTACATGAGTACTTGTCGAACTTGACAGCTAGAATCAGCTTGTCTGCAAACACCTGTGAGAGGAGAAGGGATCGATAAGAGGTTCAGTACCCGCCCGTGGCATCTACCATACCACCTGAATCACCAGACCCCCTTCACCGTACCTGCACTTCAATGTGCCTGGGCCTCTCAACATCCGCTCCAGCAGCACCCGCCCATTGCACAATGCACACTCCCTCCCCCTTCTGAGTCAACTACACCACACTCGACGAATGCTCCTTAACCTACCACCCACCTGCACTTCAATGTGCCTGGGCCTCTGAATGTATCGCTTCAGCAACACCCGCCCCGTGCACCCTCCCTCCCCTTCTGACACGACCTGACAGCAACCCCATCCACATCATACCAACCTCACCGCACTGCACCCACCTGCACTTCAATGTGCCTGGGCCTCTGAATATATCTTTCCAACAGCACCCTTCCGTTGCCAAACGACGCTGCCGCCTCCCTTGCTGCACTCGCCAGGCTGGGGAGCAAATCCCGAGGCTGACGCACTATGCGCATGCCCTTGCCCCCGCCGCCCTGCGTGGCCTTGATGAGAATGGGGTATCCGATCCGCGCCGCCTCCTCCTGCAGGAAGCGCTCTGATTGGTCCTCACCGTGATACCCCGGGACCACCGGCACGCCTGCTGACGTCATCAGCTCCTTGGCCGCACTGGAGTGGGGAGGGGGAAGGGTTGAGAAAAAGGGGAGGAAAGAGGTGTGAACGGTATGAGGGAACTTTTTTGAGGCGCCTAACAAAAAGGCTGGGAGGGGGGCAGAGTGGGGAAGGAGAAAGAGGTGTGGAAAAATGGGAGGGTTATGGGAGGTAAGAGAGGGATGGTGGAGGGGAAGGGACGTCATAAGCTCCTTGGCCGCACTGGAGGCGGGGAAGGGCGGGGGAGGGAGTGGGTAAGGGGAAAGGGAGGGAAGGAGAGTGGGGTGGGGGGAGAGGAGTGGGGGGAGAGGAGTGGGGGGGTGCAGCAGGCCGCAGCAGGAGGGAGGAGAAAGAGGGGTTTTGAGACGCCTCAAAAGGGGGGTTACAGGAGACGTCTCAAAAGGGGGGTTACAGGAGACGTCTCAAAAGGGGGGTTACAGGAGACGTCTCAAAAGGGGGGTTACAGGAGACGTCTCAAAAGGGGGGTTACAGGAGACGTCTCAAAAGGGGGGTTACAGGAGACGTCTCAAAAGGGGGGTTACAGGAGACGTCTCAAAAGGGGGGTTACAGGAGACGTCTCAAAAGGGGGGTTACAGGAGACGTCTCAAAAGGGGGGTTACAGGAGACGTCTCAAAAGGGGGGTTACAGGAGACGTCTCAAAAGGGGGGTTACAGGAGACGTCTCAAAAGGGGGGTTACAGGAGACGTCTCAAAAGGGGGGTTACAGGAGACGTCTCAAAAGGGGGGTTACAGGAGACGTCTCAAAAGGGGGGTTACAGGAGACGTCTTAATAGGGGGGTTACAGGAGACGTCTTAGTAGGGGGGTTACAGGAGACGTCTCAAAAGGGGGGTTACAGGAGACGTCTCAAAAGGGGGGTTACAGGAGACGTCTCAAAAGGGGGGTTACAGCAGGAAAAGGAGAGTTAGTGGAGAGTAAAGGCAGGCAATGTTCTTAATAAAAACAGACTCTCTCTCGAACTAATCACTATTGATACCAGCACATGCCTCACCCCCTTCGTTACAATCACCTCTTGTCCCCCATGGCTCTTATGACACAGGGCGGCAGGCCGATGAACTCCCCACTCCTCAGCTGGCAGGCTAACATTGATTCTAAGCTCTCTCTGTATAATCACACTTCTAGCACAGCCCTCGTTACAGTCACCTCTTGTCCCCCATGGCTCTTATGGCACTGGGCGGCGGGCCGATGAACTCCCCACTCCTCAGCTGGCAGGCTAACATTGATTCTAAGCTCTCTCTGTATAATCACACTTCTAGCACAGCCCTCGTTACAGTCACCTCTTGTCCCCCATGGCTCTTATGGCACTGGGCGGCGGGCCGATGAACTCCACACCCCTCTGTTTGCACGCCGCAGCAAAGTCAGCGTTCTCTGAGAGAAAGCCGTAACCCGGGTGAATGGCCTGATAGAGAGGGGGGAGGGGGGAGGGTAGAGGGGGGGAGAAGACGGGGAGGAGAGCCAACGTAACTCCACGCGCCTCTGATGGCACGTGTGAGTAGTCGGTTTTTGAGTCGACTCAAAAACTGCCTCTGATGGCACGCTGCAGCAAAGTCAGCGTTCTCTGAGAGAAAGCCGTAGCCCGGGTGAATGGCCTGAAGGGGCGGAGAGATGGGGGGGAGCGGATGAAAAGAGGGGAGAGGAGAGTCAATGAAGTGAATGGCGAGGGGGGTTGGGTGATGGGTGGCCTTCTAATGGGGGCGCGCATAACTGAGCAGCAGAGCCCGTGAACTCCACTCCCTTCCGCTGGCAGGCGGCAGCAAAGTCAGCGTTCTCCTCTCCTCAGAGAAAGGTCTGGACGGGTGGCATCGGGATGTGGAATGGGGAGGAGGAGAGGAGAGGGGGGAGAAGAGAGGGGGAGAGGATAAGGCGGAGACGGGTCGGCCCACAACTAGCTTGTGGCCCGCAACAACTCACCTGCTCGCCCGCCATTCTCCCCTTCCCCCCAACTAACCTGCACCCCCCTCCCTCCCCATTCTCTCTCCCCCTTCCCCCCTCTCCCCCGTCCCCCAACTCACCTGCGCCCCGCATCTCTCTGCAATATCCAGAATTGCGTCTCCCCGCAGGTAGCTCTCTCGCGCCGCGGCGGGGCCCACGCGGAACGCCACGTCAGCGGAGCGCACGTGGAGTGCGTCGCGGTCCGCGTCACTGTAGACGGCCACCGAGCGGATCGCGAGGCGCTTTAATGTGCGCATCACGCGACACGCGATCTCGCCACGATTCGCCACGAGGACAGTCGAGATGGGCACGACGGCGGGGGGAGTGCGTGGAGCGGCGGAAGCGCCGGGGGAGGGGGCGGAAGCGGGAGGCGGAGAGGAAGCGGCGGGGGCAGCGGCGGCGGAGGAGCCTCCTGAGGATGCGTCAGCGGGGGAGGAGGCGGCGGAAGCGGCGCGAGTGGCGGTGGAGAAACGGGCGGAATCGGGGATGGCGGAGAAGGCAGCGGAAGCGGCGGAGGGGCAGGCGCGCGCGGCGGGAGAAGCAGTGGCGGAAGCACGACTACCGGCTCCCGCCCCTGCCGTAAAGGTCGCGGAGGGAACTGCAAATCCCACGGGGCCGGGTGGAGCGGGGGCGGGCGAGTGATAGGATGCGCGGAACCGAGATGGTCGCGGGAAGTCTTCCGCGCCTCTGGGCGGAACCGAGAATACGAACCGTGAGCGCGTCGCGAGCACGCGAGAGCGTGCGCTCGCGCCTCGAGATTGAAGCACCCATCGAATCATGGCGCACCGGCGGTCTAGCGCCGATCAATCCGGCAGCTGCGAATGTCTTCGCAAGCGTCGCCTGTAACAACTTCGTGCAATGCCTCGAAAATAACTGGCGCGAAGGATTCTCAGACGTTCGCCACTTGCGAATGACTCGCAAGCGTAGCGTAACTACTCGCACAAAGTCCGAAACGGTTGATCAGGCGAAACGCGTCAGCCGGGACGAGGGAGGCAGAGCGAATGAGACGGAATGCATTTCTGCGGACAACATTAGCCCAGAGCGCAGCTTTTAGCGTGAAATCACAGTCACACGCACGCTTACCAGATGCATGGGTAAGAAGGTTACTTCAGAGGGCGATACTTCGCGAAACACGATACGAGGGTACAATGCTTTGCGTACATTTTCGCGGATCCCTCTTCGCACGGAAAAGGGGATACAACAGGCAGCCTCGCCAGGCGCAACAGAGCATTCAGGCGACAAACACACCCAACCTCGATGTTTCGCCTTTTCCTCCGGTGTGCTTTGTGTGGGGGGAAAACTTGGATCCAACGTGGCGTGACTGGGATGTGACGTCTGTCTGAGAAGTTGAGACGTCAGTGATGCTGGCCTGTCTGATTTCCCCCCTTGCGATTCCGTTTGAAGGTGTATAGTGTTCGCTATAGGGAAACTGCCTTTGCAAACGCGCATCTTCAAGTGCGGTCAACAGCTTGTATTAAAAAAATGTCAAAACAAATTAATAAAATAATCAGTAAACAAACGAACGAATTTATGGTACAGAAATCAGGATATCAAAGCAGCCGCATCTATTGTGTGCAACTGCCAAAAACGTATAGGAACCATGACCTTTGTCACGCTTCTTGAGCTTTTATTCACAAACCGCCTTCCTGGTCGAAGTCATACGACCATCTCACTTGCTTGGACTTGCGTGAAAGTATACCTTTCAGCCCCCCTTTCTTCACCCCTTTCTCCGCAACCTTGCTCCCCACAGCACGCTCTCCCCCTTGCTGCAGCGCACCTATATCGGCACTTCCGGGTCGGCTCATCGAAATGGGTGATCTTGATTCCAACACACGCCTGGCCTCAATAGCACCTCCTGCAGTGGATGTCCGCCTCAGGTGCCCCTTCCCCACATGCACCTCCCCGTTTGCCACTCCCCTCCATCCAGTGCTCCTGGTGGAAGGACTCCCAGGGTCCATGCTTGGTATGGCTGATGTGACCAGGCCTCGGCTAGAGCTCCTCAGCATCCCGTGCCGAGGCTGCCCTGCAGGGTCGGCGCCGAGCCACGATTTGGCTATGGTGTCAGCACGGTTACCCGAACTGGACTCGCTGTGTGAGCGGAATGGCGAGGGCGCGTACGCGCTCGGGCGGGCGGCGGGGGACAGACAGGAGGGGGAGTTGGTGAGAGAACTGGAGGGGGAAAACGAGGAGGGGGAGAATGAGGCTGCGGAAGGCGAGAACGAGGCGGAGGGAGAATAGGAGTTCATGGAAGGGGAAAAGGGAAGCATGGGGGAGGAGGAAGTAGCAGGCGAGGGGGAGTTGGATCGGGAGTTGAGGGTTGACGTGCGGAAGCGGACGTCCAGGGGAGTGAAGCGCAGGCGAGGCGAAGGGTCTTCACTGGAGGAACGAGCAATGCTGGCGGCGCTGGTAGAGGGAATGAGGCCCGCAGGGAGTCTCCCTGTGGCGGCAGCAAGGCGCACCGCCATGTCTCGCTCCGCTATGGCGGTTTCGAGTAGTAGCTGCAGCTGCCGTGCCTGCTCCTCCGCCTGCTGCACCCTCTGCTGCTGCTCCTGCTGCTGCGAGGCGCACATGCCTGTATTTTCCACGTCAGCGGGCGGCGATGCTGACAGGGACTCCAGCAGCGCCTCCATTTCCTTGGCCAGCGCGTCGCGCTCCTCCTTGGCCGTTTTCAGCTCCTCTTTAGTCACTACCAGCTCCTGTGTCCTCCTTTCGAGCAGCTCCGTTAATCGTCCGTTGACGTCAGTCAACTCAACCAGCTGTCCCCTCAGTTCCACTACCTCCATCGCGATGCTCTGCCATTCCGGTGACCGAGCCTCAGCCTCAGGCCCGGAATGTTGGCACGCTTTGGCTTGGCCCGAGCCACTTGCCGAACCGCCATTGCCGAACGCACTCTTGGCTTGGCCGACAGTTACCAGCTGCCGCCGCAAGACGGCGATTTCGTTCTCCAGTCGCCGAACTTCGTCGCCGCCAGCTGACATACAGCTAGACGTCCGCGATAAACCTCCGCTCTCCCCTTTCGCGTGCGCCGCTGCGTTTCCCCCCCTGCGCGCTCCGCCCTTCACTCGCCCCTTCTCCTCCCGCTCCGCCTCACGCTCCCGTTCCCGCTCCCTCTCCCGCTCTCCGTCAAAACTGCTGCGCGGCTTCTCCCGCTGCGCCGTGACCGGCCGCGAGTGGTCGATGCAGCTGTTCGTACGAGAAAGGTGGCGCGGCGCGATCTCATCGGAGTACACGCGCGGAATGGTATCTCGTTCCCGCGCGGAAAGTAAGTTTCGCCGATCCACCCCGCTCCGCTCCCGCTGCCTGTCGCGCTCGTCCTGCGCCCTTGGGGCCCCGCGCCCCCCTGCGCGGCCCTCCTGCTGCCCGCTCTGCGCGCCACGCCGCGGAGCGGCGACTTGCGCAGATCCCCCCGTTGGTCCGCCCGCTTCGTCCGAGGATCCGCATTCCGCCACGGAGCCCAGCCAATCAACCATGAGATCGTCGCATTGTTCCCACGCGCTCGCCTGGCCTTTCTTTCCAGTCTTCCCGCCATTTGCGCCGCGCTCCGAGCTCTCAGAAACAGACTTCTGCGGAAGTCTCCTGCGGGAGTCCTTTGGACTCGATACCCATCCCGCGAGGCTGTCGGGACTTCCGCCGCCCGCGGGGGTTTCGCTGGCGATGGATCTTTCGCCACGCCTGCTGCCAGCGACGCTGGTAACCCCCCTGGCTGCTCCTGCAGTGTTTGAAAGTGCTGCGAGGTTTCCGCTTCCGCCGCTTCCGCTCAGTTTTCCGCCAAGATTGCCGCTTCCGCCGGATCCAATGAGCAGCCGCACCGCGATGCGCCTCGCGGCCCCGGATGAGGCGAGCGCCGCGGATGCGTCTGCGTCACTTTCTGTTATGTTTCCTGACATTCGCGAAAGCAGCTCGCCGATTTCGAAATGCGCGAACTGATGTCTCGGATCGTTTGGCCGCGCCATGACAGGACCTCTGCTGTTTGAACCAGCTCCCTATCGTGCTCCAGCGTCGGCTTCGAGAAAGAAACGATATTGTTAGGAGCCGTGGCTTCCTGAAACCCAAGCCTGGACTCACGGCAATGAAAGAAAGAAATTGCGCGTCGTTACTGTGATTGAGCTAGCCCTTTAGCAAAAACAAAATTCACGCGGAAGGTTGTCGCAGTCACAGTCGTGTGGATGGAGGCAAATAAGAGATGAGATTTTGAATGTGAGTTGGCAGCGAATGCCAGAAGCACAAAAAGACGTAACGGAAGGATAAATGTGGCGGGTGCAGTGCAGTGGGGAAAATGCGCCTGCAAGGGGACGGTGGCGATGAGTGCGGTGCGGAGAGGGTTTCTGCAGGTGAAAATTTGCGGCGGAGGGATTTCGAGGCTGGAAGACGTCGAAGGATGCGGGGCGATGAATTTTGCGGCGCGGGGAAAAATGTTTGGGAAGGGAGGGGGGGGAATTTGCGGTGCAGCTGTCCTTGTTTGCGGGGCGGGAAATTGGAGGAGCAGGGCTGCTGACTCGAGCCATCAATTCTGTACAGGTCAGTTCAAACTCTGCATTGTCATACGTAAACTCGCATTGTGGTTGTTGTTCGGTTGTATACCCAAGCACACGGAGGAAATGAAAATACACCCTAAATAAAGATAGCGCTATTTAATGTTATTAACTCTGTAATTTATTAAAAACAATTTCTACAGCTCTGTCAAATTTCAGCATTTAGATCTTTGCGTTCCTCGTTGACCACGTTTCCATCCGATAGGGTAGCCTTGCAAAAGAATTGACGTCTTGATGTGGCTGTTAAATAAGCCAAAACTGGTTACCATACTGAGCTGGTTTTCTTCCCTGCTTTCCAGCTGGCAGTCTGTCGGGAGACGTGGGGAGTGGATGTTGGTCACTGTCGCGACGTAACGTTTTGACAAATTTAGAACTGTTGATAGGGGATTGCACAGTGGAGTTTATTGACCATGATTAGCTTGGCGCATTACGTCATGGCGATGCAGACAACGTCAAATGGCTATTTGCTTCTGGGCGGGGTTCAAACGTGGTTCTCAACCGCAATGCCGCAGAAGGATACCCACCTGCCCTGACAATAGCCCGTGGCAACTGTTTGCAGCGTGCGAAATAACAGACAGTCGCTGGAGACCAATGGGATGACAATGAATTGCACAATTATTGGAACAGACGGTTCGAAACAATCGGAAACTGAAAGATTCGTAAAATTGGGGTTCAATACATACCCTTCCTTCAAGCCGCTGTCGGGCAGCCAAAACTTCTCAGGTGAATCTCACCAGCAACAACAAACCAGTGGAGTAGCCTCGCTCGTCGGTAACGGCCTAGCCAAACTCCATTCAAACGCCCAGCATGGATGGTGGGTGGGAAGGAGGTGGGGATGGGTCAACGATACACGTTAGAAGAAGGCGAACTGGCATAACATTCGCCACTTATAAAATACCTTTACATTGATACATCCATAACTCTTACCCTGACCACTACCTTCTGTAGCTCTTTACCAGGAAACACTATTATGGTAGCCCTCATGCATACCCACACAAACTATGCACATATCATACGATTCGTATCAGGTCAGGGACTTGGGGCACGGCAGAGTCCTGACAGTTCAAACTGCTGCTCAAACTAGTCGTGCATTGAGTGAAAACTCCAGGCAGAACCTGTCAGCGATAGTAACCTATATACACTACACAAGTTAGTCATCTTCAGTGTGGCATGGTGGCACCTCTTCAATACAGGATTATTCATATAGACTAAACACTGGCCTACAATACACAATCCGGCGCCTTAACACAATTTACACATCCAGCAAAGAACCCTTTTTCCTACAGTGCACAAGCCCATGCGCCTGGTCACACTCAGTATAACCAAACCCTGCCAAATACCCCCTCACAGCGGCCGGCGTCGTGTTCCCCGCCCGGAGCAACATCCTGTCCTCTTCATACAAGACAAACGGCGCCTCCTTTGGTGGGCGGCTGAGCAACCCAGCAGCGCCCCTAAACGCATGCAACTCCCATCCCTGTACAGTCACCTTCAGTACAGCCACATGCTGGTCTGGTAAAACGAGGGAGTCTATAGGGAGGGATTCCACGGTAGTGGGAATGACAGGGGCATCTTTTGAAGCGAGGGTGAGCACTGCCGCTGTCACTGCACTGTGCTCCAGATTGGATAGGATCTGAGGGAGGTGAGTGGGTGGGTGGGAGGGAGGGGGAATGGGGGAACAGGTGGGTGAAAGCGGACTGAGACGGAAGATGCAAGGAGCAAGGAAAGGTACAGCAAAGGTAGCCTATACTTAGAGCATTGCTTTTGAGAGCATTGCACTGGCCATCCTAAATCTCTAGTTTGGCTCACAAACTGACGTCATGAATGGTGATGTTGCCTGTTGCATCAGAGCAGCCAGGTGGAGCTTCACCCTCTTTGCCGCCCGGTTCAAGTGCACGGCATCGCACATCTTGTCTTGAGCACATTCGCCAACGCAGGGTCGAGTGCCAACACCCGCACGCCCTTGGCTTACCTTACGATCATGTTGCTGTCGGTTCACAAACTCACTCACGTTATGGATGGTGATGTTTCCGACACTGTCTGACACAGCAGCCAGATGCAGCTTCACTCTCTTTGATACACGGTTCAAATGCACGGCATCACACATCTTGAGCACATTCGCCAGCACAGGGTCGAGCGCCAACACGCGCACGCCCATGGCTGCTGCTGCAAACGCCGCCGCCCCTATGCCCGCCCCCGCGTCGATGACTAGGGAGTCGGGGCGCACGGCCTTGGCTTCAATCAGCATTTCTAGCACCGACTGGAAGGGGGAGAGGGGATAGGGGCGTGGAGGAGGGGTGGGGGGAAGCAGTGAATCGAGCTTGCCCTGATGCCCGCCCACATGTCGATGACTAAGGATGGGGCGCACAGTTTTGCGCTGAATCAGCATTTCTGGTACCGACTGGGTAGGGGAGGTATGGATGGAGGGGAGATAGGCAGTGTGTGTGCGGGCGGGGAAGGTGGGTGGAAAAGCAGGGGCAAAGCGTACTGCACTACCGAACCTCTCCAAATCTGGATTCCCGAACTGCGCCGTACCTGCAGTCCCGAACCTCTCCGTACCTGCATGGCCACAGCCAGCTCCGGCTTCAGGAACGGCCGGTCCTCCATCAGCCGAACCATATTCCTATTCGGCCTTCTCCTCGTGCCAAAGTCCAGCAGAGACAGAAAGAAGTCATACTTGACGTCGTCCACCCGGTGGGCTATCACAGGGGATGATTGGGGTGCTTGCAGGCAGTCCAAGGGGAGGACGGCAGACACCCAGTCGTGCTGCACGGGGTCGCTCTCGAGCTTCACACAGTGCTCTGGTAACCGCTTGATGGTTTCTGGGCACATGAAGATGTACCTGTGGGGGGAGGGGAAGGAGAAGGGAAGGGGAAAAGAGGAGGAGAGAGAGAGAAAGGGTAAACTGAGAGCTTCACACAGTGCTCTGGTAACTGCTTGATGGTCTCGGGACACATGAAGATGTAGCTGGGGTGGGGGGGGGGTTGGGGGAGGGGGGAACGGGGGGGAGTGTGGGGGAGACTTAAAAGGCACCTCAAAAGCTTCACACAGTGCTCTGGTAACCGCTTGATGGTCTCTGGGCACATGAAGATGTAGCTGTGGGGGGAGGGGATGGCACAGGAGGGTAGAGCGCTTGGTTTTGTTGGGGGACTGAAGCCGTTGCATGGGAGAAGCGCCGGGAAGGGGAACAGTGCGAGGGCATGACGGAGAACATGCATGGCAAAGCGGAATGTGGAGGGGGAATTACCCTGGAAAAAGAGCAGAGCCCAGCAGGACGAGGGCGATGAGGGAGAGTAGCCCAATGGTTATCCATGGCAGCAGCTTCTGCAGCGTTCCTAGATTCTGGCGGAGGTGGTTTGGGTGGAGAGCGGATCGGGAATATAGAAAACGGGGGGAATGGAAAGAAGGGTAGGGATTCGAGTGAAAAAAAGGAGGGAGAGTAACCCGATGGTTATCCACGGCAGCAGCTTCTGCAGCGTGCTTAGATTCTGGCGGAGGTGGTTTGGGGGGAAAGGGGAACGGGAAGTAGGGGAGAGGAGGAAAATTGAAGGGGGGGAGAGTTGCACGGGAAGAAGGGAGAAAAAGTTGAGCTTTTAGGTTGGCATAAGGGCGTATCCCTGGGTGGTGGCAGGGCCACTGTTCATCGCACTGTTGATGGCAGGCGTGTTTCCCGCATGCCACCAACATTTTGCCCGAGGCGCGCGCGACACGAATTTGGTGGCATTGAAATGACATTTTTGGGACATTGCCCAATCACGCACCTGTATTTGTGCGCCAGTTTCCTGACACCAACCTAACGTTTTATGCGTCAGTGGCAGCCTGCCATCTACAGAGGCCCTGCCACCACCCAGGGATACGCCCTAAGATGATCGTGAACGGTTGCAGCTAATTTCAGCCACACGGGCACAAGGGAGACGCACGGGCAGGTGACGAAAAATCTGTTTCGAAACAAATGGTTACACTATTGGTCTGAGAGGATCCTGGAGCCGCGCTCGCGGACTAATCCAAACGGCAACTGACAAACAACTGGTTCTTAAAATGCAGCACACTATATCGTACATGTTTGGAATGGTGGTAATGATGATGATGCCCTTTCTTATCCCGGTGTTGGTGCTGCTGTTGCCCTCCGCCTGCCCCCGCCTTCCCCGGGCTGCGCATGGGGAACGTTCCGCCCATGTTGCCCCCGCGCGCGTGGGCCACGTTGCGGCCGCGCGGAGTCTTGTCGTCCGCGGACGATCCTTCCATGCTGCCCTCCGAATTCATCGCCTGCGACGTCGCCCAGCGATGCGGCGACGGCGAGCGACGCCCGCCTGCGCGAGGCTCGAGTGGTGCCGCCAGCGGCTAGCTGATAAGAAATGTTACCACCTCCTAAGCGAATCTGTGGCTGTCCGGTCTTATCGTCGTTCGCGAAAGGACTTCTTACATGCCGAAAAGGCAGGCTAATGGCAAAAACAGATCATACGGGACAACTAATGGATGGCAAGAAAACTGACGGCGCTAACAGAATCGATCCAACCGCAAATGTAAGAACCACGATTATGAGAAGAAAGACGAATAAGAAGCTGAGTGTAAATGCTGTACTGAATGCCTCATGGCCACGATAACTCCGACCTAACACCTAGCAGGGGAGAAAATAATCGAGGTGAGCTGCAGGGAAAATCGGGGATTCAGGTTTCCGGGGGGCAACATTGATTTTGGTTTCCAGTATCTCATTATATCCGCGCTATTGGACTGACGAGGAGCGGCCACGACAATGTGGCGATGGTGTTCAAGACTGTACGAAAACATTCATCAACATTCAACTGAATTCAACTAAACCGTGCTGATGGAGTAGAACTGAGGTATTCTGCCTATTCCATCGTTATGCGTTGTCTCTATACACCGAATATTCTATATCCGATAACCCGGAGATTGTCAGGTCTTGTCAGTTCCCACGGGTCTGACGTGGCTGGAAATCGCTGTGAGAACAGTCGGCAAATCAGGGAACTCCAAGCGGCAGTCTAGACTCCAGCTCGGACTCACGTCACACTCCACATGCGCAACCTTCAGGAGGACTACCCGCTCGTTGGAAGAGAATTGCGCGGGAAAATGCTTCACACGCATGGTCGACTTCAGAATCAACGATCAATCCGAAGCACCCCACTCCAAACCAAGATTCGCGATTCGCAATTCGCGCGAGACTCGAACGGCCTCCTCCTTCAGGGTTTCGATCGAGACATTTGAATCCGGGGCGGGTCAAGCATAGTTCGTTTTCAGCTCAAGTATCACTGTTCAGACTGGTGAAGAGAGGTTCAAAGTGGTGGAGTAAGAAAACCGCTCTAGAATGCACAGCAACGTTTTCCACCGCATACACTGAACGGAAAACGAACGAGGTTTGACCCGCCTTTTAGGTCAGGAAGGACGGCAACCCCAGGATAAAACTGCTACTAGATGCCTTGAAGCCAACCGATACCTAACCCAGCCCGAATTGATTTTCTTTTGACATAATCTTGAGAGGTTGGCAAAAAATCAGTTGTAGTGTGTCTCAGGAAGAAAGAAGTATAAGAGTCGCGCCATGGCGTCGACCACATGTTATGCTGCCAGTTCAAGCTTTGCCGTCAAATCCACTCTCGCGCACACCACCACCTCAACTGCTAACACTGTACGCGCTATAAGCAACATTGCCATCAGGCCGTCACGGAATTCGATACAAGGGCTGGCGCTGACGCAACGCAGCTCGTGCCGTGGGCCAAGAAAGCTGACCAATCGTCGCGTGCTGCGTGGAGTGCGAGCCGCAGTAGCAACTGGTCACGCGAAGGCAGCCAGGACAAACAGCGCTGCGATCCTTCACCGGGTGGAAGGTACGCGAAACGGAAGGTACTGAAGTATATCTCTTTCTCGCTATGCTAAGACCTTAACGAATTTGTGTAAGGATTCAAGACAGCAAAAGTAACATGCAAGAGCAGCGAAAAGGGCAAACAATCTCGGAAAAGGCTGACATGCTACTTTCACAACCCTATGGCATGCATCATTTATTATTATTATTTTTTGATCTACCCCACTTCCACATTCCTTATAGGCCTTTTTTTTTTAAGAACCCAACAGCCTTTCATAACCCTATATCATGCAGCCTCTTTACTGTGCATCGCATGTTTGCAACCTCTCACCCTCGCTTACCTCAACATTCCTCCCCGCGCGTGAAAACAGAGCTCCCGGACGGCACGGTGGTGCTGCGGTTCGCCGAGGCCGGCACGGCCGGCAGCCACATGGAGGTGGAGCGGAACGTGGTGGAGTTTCTGCAGGAGTGCACGACGACGTACTGCCGCCTCATCGATAATGACACAATCGACCAGATCGTGGGAACCCACGTCACCCTCCAACCGTACGTGTTCTGAGACGTTTCACAAATAAAGTTTCTGCACAAGTGCACCACATGCAAAACCGTGCCGTCTCATCGATAACGATACCATTGACCAGATTGTGGGCACCCACGTGCCCCTCCAACCGTACCTGCTGGGTTACATGTACTCGTGCGGTTGCAGGGGAGCGCGCTTACACGCACACACACTCAGCACAATCATACCACATGATTTAAGCCCATGAACTCACGGTCTTCTTATGTCCTCCTTCTTTCCTCTCTCCCCACCCTTTCCCTGCTCTTCCTCCCCCCTGCCATCCCTATCATCACACTGCTGAGCAATTCACTCGTTTGGTAACCACCACCACGTGCAACCACCACCGCTTTCCTCTCCCCCCCCTCTCCGTCTGTTCCCCCACTCTTCCCTGCTGTTATCTTCCCTCCCCCACCGCAGAGCCCAACAGCTATCCCATCTGGTACTCACCACCGCGCACAACACGGTATCCGCGCTCAAGGAGACCCTGTCAGGCCACACCCATCAGCACCACCACGCACCTGCCACAAACGGCCATGCCTCTGCCAGGGAAACACAGCTTACTGCAGTGAAAACCACTCCTGCACCAGCACCTGCTGTTGCTCTTTCAGCAGCATCACAGAAACCAGCAGCAGTAGCAGCAGCAGCAGAGAATGAGAGTTCCAGAGCGATCCAGCTTGCGCCTACTGCTGTCAAGGCGGTTGCGCCTGTTGTGCTTGTAGCAGCTGCGGCAGCAGTAGTGCAAGTGGCTAAGGCCTTGGGCCTGCTGGGGAAGCTGCCAGAAAACGCTCTCAAGGCGTGGGCGCAGTGGAGCTGGCCTGCTGCAGCTGTGGTTGTAGCGGTGGCTGCTGGAGTGATTATTTGGAGCGGTCTCAATGGAAAGCAATCATCAGGCAAGACGCTACAGCTTACGTCAACGTAATCAGTCCTCATTTTGCAGCTTTGGCAGCTGGTGTGCTTGTATAGGTTGTAAGGGAACTGACTTGCCCTCAGCAGGGCTTTGCTGCAAATTGGTAGACTTTGCACGGTGGTGGCTAGGGGTTAGTTGGGGTGTGTGCGTGTGTGCATGTGTGTGTACGTGTAGCAGTCTGAAAAACTGCCAATCTAGGGCTATATAACAAGGATACACTCATTTTAGTGAAATTAACTGTTCTCCCTTGCATTTAATCAGACAAGCGCTGAGAGGTATGTCGTTATGTTTATATGGACATAACCTACAATAAATAGATCTTCATTAGGTAATGGGAACAAGCAGCTACAATGTACGGTTCAAAAAACTTTTTGCTCCACCTGGCACAAATTCTCACAAATAATCAGATCCAGCTAAGGTGGTACCGGTATATGATTTAGGCTCGGCCCATGTATGAGCCTGTGCGAGTATCTACAGTGATCATTTCTCCTTCCTCAATGAAGAGCGGCACAGACACTGTAGCTCCCGTCTCAATAGTTGCTGGCTTGGTCCCACCTGTTAGTGGAGTTGATAATGAGCAAGAATAGGAGGGGGAAGGGTGGGAGAGAAGAAACATGGGATAGATTCAGAACAGTTTGGGTTTCATAATCGTGTCAACAATCCTTTCCTGCTCTCCCTCTCTCGCTCACCCGAACAAACCCCGCTTCCACCACCTCACTCCCTCACCCCACTCATCCACCTCATCCACACTCACCTCCGCCAGCAGTGTCGCCTTGACACCAGGGCCACCTCTCACTTGCTCACACTGAATCCATTCCCAACGCCTCTCTCTCCCTTCAACCCAATCACCCACTCACACCCCTCAACCCCCATCCATTCACTCCCCCATCTGCTCTCACCTCCACCAGCAGTGTTGCCCTTGACGCCGGAGTCGGTCTGCATGGCTTTCACTCAGCGCATGATCAGGAGCTCGTTCCCCACTCGCCCCACTCATCCATTCACTCCCTACAACTCATTCACTCCCTACAACCCATTCACTCCCTTCAACCCATTCACTCCCCTCATCCAGCTCATCTACTCACCTCCACCAGCAGTATCGCCTTTCACTCCAGGGTCGGTCTGCACGACCTTCACTTTGAGCGTGATGGGCAGCTCCAGGTCGATCACCTTGTCGTTCCACGTTAGCACGTTACACTCCATCCCCTCTTTAAGGAACTTCACTCTATCGCCCAGTTGGGCCTTGGTCACCCGAGTCTCCTCGTAAGTCACCTGCGAATGAAGACGACATTGGTGCACACGGTAAAAAAAACAAGGAAGAACCGGGGCAGTTGGGAAACCGAGGAGGCGGGAAAAAAAGGAAGGAAAGGAAGGAGGGGGCATGGAGAATAACACAAGAGCCTTTAGAAAGACTAGGGCAAAACGAGCACGAGACAAGCGTTGGGCAATGGCATGAGGTCAGGATCTGGAACCGGGTGGGGCTCAGTTAACCGCATCAATTTTATCCTCAAGCAGTCAGCCACAAGTCATGTGACAGCTGGCATCGGAGGGTCTCATTTTGGTTATCATCATCGCCGCAATGGCAATCGGGAAGCAAACCGGGATCCTGGTCGGAAAACGGTGCAAGATAGCCGGATCGAGTCAGTTGTGCCTCGTGCCCGTCGAAGAGCACAGCCGATTTCACAAGAACACGGAATATGCACTCGATGAAGCAAAGCGCGGCATTCGATTCGACTGCAATCCTACAGCACGATCACACTAGCGTAATATATTGAAGGGCGGAATAAGTGATTATTCTGAAAGATCGGCGGAGAAGGGCAGCTCAGTCCGCCGGTGAGGCCACACGATGAGAGCCGTCCATCTTGACTCGGACGGCCATTCGGCACTTGGGATCACGATCATCATCACCGCTGCCCTCTCAAAGCACGCATGGCTGAATCTTCATCCCGCACTCTCGCACACGTGCGAGGTAATCACGGGAGAGACACCATGTCCATGAAAACGTAGTCCTCGCCGTCGAGGTACGTGAGTACGGAATCGAGTCGAAACAGTCAATCTCGGCTCGAAGGGACTCTTAAAACGTTGGAATGACTAACGTAGGAGGTGGAAAGACTCACCATGTCCATGAAAACGTAGTCCTCGCCGTCGAGGTACGTGAACTGCTTCACGTCCTTGATCACACTCGCCTCGTCCACCTGCCCGCGGAGAGAGACGCGAAAGATGGAGAGAATAAGGAAGACGATCAGGAAACGAAGGAACAGGAGTCAAGCCGAAAGAACGTGAGGGTAGAGAGGATGGTGAAAGGGAATGCGAGCATCGAGGGGTAGATGGGGTGCGAATCATGAGGTAAGACTTGATAGAGGTTTTGCTGGGACGAAGAGGGAAAAGATATTTGAAGGAAGATTCTAGAGGTTCTGATCTTGCTTTCTCTCTCGCTCTCAGCGAGACTGACCGATTCGCCGGCGCGGAAAGTTCGCTCGACGGTGTTCCCCGTGATGAAGTTGCGGAGCTTGGTGCGCACGAACGCCGCTCCCTTGCCGGGCTTGACATGCAGAAACTCTGCACTGACAGCAGAGCAGAGATGAATCAGGGACGGCACAGTGAACTATTGAGATACCTAATCAACCTTACCGGGCGTTATTATGTAAAAAGTAAGCACTGACAGCAGAGCATAGGGTGGACCGATTACGGCAAGGTTGGATCAACGACTGCAAAGATTGGTTGCGTTTCAGAAAACAGGCAAGCACCGCAGTAGCGAACATCGAGTGATCTACGTTGGCGACGTCATCAATGGACCTATTCAACAAGAGTAAGCGAGGGTTCCCACCAGAGTTATCAACACACCTTGCACTCTCCATGGCGCTCCGTCGAGCTCAATGCTGGTTCCTACGCGGAAGTCGTTGCTGGAAATAGCGAAGATCTCTGAAATACGATTAAAAAGCAGTGAAATATACAGGGAACGTTAGAATGAACAGCATCATCAACCTAACAATGACATGAAAATGACTCAACAATGCCCAAGAAAGCAAGGCTTACGGAGAGGTTGTCGCGAGCTTCTGTTTATTGCGACGTGTGCGACGGCCTGCGATGTCGCCTTTCGCCTCCATTCAAGGCTCCTTGTTGACTCCGGCGACTGCAGCAGCTTCCATGAAGCTGCTGCCTGAACCGTCGACCGAGCAATACTCAGCATCTCTACCGCTACAAGCCTCACGGTCTTCCCCTCGTGTCAAGACACGGAATCCAAGAACGGAGCAACAGAAACTTTACTCAGCGAAAGGAGGGACGACTTGGTCAGGAGTATGGTACTGACCACGAAACGCACTGGCACTATGAGAGTATGACCAATGCCAGAGAGAGTCTAGGAATTGGTAAGCTAGCACAGCGAGATCTACGGGAAAAGTGAACATAAAGGGATGAAGGATGACTGAATGAAGGAACTCATGGTATCTGCTGACTGGATGCTAACGTTTCAGATAGACATCAGCGAAACACACTGACATTTCGCAAGGTTCGCACGACGCGTTTCCATTTGAAGACGAAGCTTGCGAGAATGACATTAGAATCTTGTTACCCTCTTGATGTGGCGATGGTATCCAATCAGAAGAATGCCACAGTGTGAATGATGCCAGCGACTATGGTGACGTAGCAATGAGCTGGCAGGCCGAAAGGCAAGCATACCATCCACCATTGAGGCTAGTGCATTCGCAATACAATTGGGGATATGAAGCACATTACAAAACATGTAACAAACTTGCTAATAATACAAAACAAACCACCACTTCTGCGGATAAATACACTACTATGATAGGACTTACCACCAGCCATTTCCACTATATGCCAAGTGTCTCCTCACTGAGATGCAAGCAACATCCGTAGTGTGTTGTTGGAAGTGAGGAACCTATGAGGGAAGGGCTGTCCTGTTATTGGTGATGTGTTGTTGCGCTCCAGCCACTGCTCTATCATGTAGCGTTCATATGTGAAGCCATCAGCTGCCACAACAGGGTCTGTCATGCGCTTCTGCAAAATTAGGGAGAAACGCGAGCACATGAGTACCAAAATAGGATTAGAATATGCTAGATTGGCTTGTTGCAATACATCTGAAACAGCGTTGTAACATACCTGAGAAATGGGGCACAGCAGCTGGTTGTCCGCATCCGCCCTGCACTTCTCCCCTTCCCTTCTCACTTCCTCCTCTAGCCTCATCAACACCGGCTGCACCTCCTTTTGCAAATCAGGCCTCCTTGCCCTTGCCCTGTCAGCGCAGCATACTCCAATCACCGCGAGCTGGCGCGCCACGTCAGCACGCCACTCCCCTCCAGACTTATCCAGCCGTGCCAAGACAGCATCCACAGCAGCAGACCACGGCTCTGAGCACACCCCTCCCGTTCTCCCTGCTCTACGCTTCTCGGCATCTACTTTTGCTGCTGTATCCGTCAGCAGGCGGTGAACCTGCTTCACCTGAGGCTCCCCCATTAGCAGCTGGAGCACGATCAACCCAAACGCGTACACATCAGATAACACCGAGATTTCACATGTTGCCACCTCCTCAGGGTCTATGTAGCCTACTGTGCCCTGCACACGTGCGGTTACGTTGTAATCGTCTTCCGCGATTAGCCTTGCCAGGCCTACGTCTCCCAGCTTGCTCATGCGGTTACCATCGAGTAACACGTTGTCGGGTTTCAAGTCTCGGTGCGCGATGGGCGGCGAATGCTGGTGGAGGTACAGCAGCGCGCCTGAAACTTCAGAGAGTATTCGCACCCTGTCGTACCAAGCCAAAGGCTGGCGCAGGACATGATTCACCGGACCAGCAGCTACCGAACCTGCCACCGAACTAGCAACCGAGCAGGATGACAAACCAGAGCCAGTTCCAGGAAACACTGCAGAACTTCTGCTGCCATCGCCCGCCCCCACTCCCCCAGCACCACTCCCACTCCTCGCACTAGCAGCCAAATATTCTTGCAGGCTGCCGCCCGGAAGGTACTCGTAGAGAATGCACATGGCGTTGGGGTCGGGGCAGTGGCCCATGAGCAGCACGATGTGCGGGTGGCGCATGCGACTCAGCACGTCCACTTCCATGCTGTATTCATTGGGGCCCTGCCACCCGCTGCCCTGCAGTCGCTTGATGGCCATGTTGCAGCCCAGCACGCGGCCTTTGTACACCTGAGGGAATGAAAATGAGGGTTTGAAAAGAAGGAAATGTTTATGGATTTGTAGTGGGATTGGATGAGAATAGGCTGAAAACAATTGGTTGAAATGCCATTGGCTCTGTAGCAAAGAGACATCAAACCACTAATGAATGAACCCAGCATTTTCACAGACCATCACCCTCGCAACACCCAATCACGATAGCCTATTTCTTCCTGTACCTGTCCGAATGCACCTCGCCCCAGCAGATTCGCGTTACTGAAATTGTCTGTCGCGCGTACAATCTGCTCCAAACTGAACGTCCGACACTGCCCCTTCCCCTCGCCCATAACCTTCCCCCCTTCCCCCCACCTACCCTCCCCATCCCCCGCGCTGCTCTCTTTCCCCCTTCCCCAATCCCACGTGTCCGCGCAACCCGCGCGGTTGCTGCTTATCGTTTCCCAGCTTTCCATTCCCTCCGCATCCGCGCATTCTCTCCGCAACGCCTCGTTCCCCAGGCCTCCCCCGAAATTCACCGCGGGGCTCATCCACGGAGTTTGCGCCGAGTCGCCCGCGTCCGAGGTGACAGTGTGAAAACTAAAACCATTCGACACCGATTCGAGCTCGCTCGCGATTTCACTCCCAGTTCCCGCTGACGGGATTCTCGAACCTCGCCTCGAAAACATATTCTGCGAGGATTCGTAAGCGCCTCGTGCTTGCAAATGCGGCGGCTCGGACTCGGCGCGCTGGCAGACTCCGCCGCGCGACCCTCCGATTTCCGGGGCGCCTCGCGAATCGGCTCCAAAATTCGGGTAGAGCGAAACCGTGGTTGTGGATGCCGCTGCGTTCACGGCGCCGATTGCGGCGGCTCCCACGCTGGCATAGCGCGTAAGAGCGCGATCCGCGGCGAGGCGGGCGACGAGAGCCAGAGGGAGAGAGGGGAGAAAAAAACAAAACCATAATCTATTACGTTTAGTTTGTACATATGATGAACAGGGGAGAGGAGAGTTTGACGAGGGGTACAAATGCTACGTTGGTGGAAACGCAACTGCTCAGTCGGACGTACCCCGTCATTAAAACTCGCGGACAATGGAAGGAGCGTTTTGGCGTTTCTGTTATGACTGAAATGTAGAGCGTGGCTCGGGGCTAAGTACAGGATGAAAAACGAACAGAATTAATGCATGAAATAATAAAAATAACTAAACACCAACTCAGGCTCAGCAATGCTGCTTCTCTCGAATAAACTATTCTTACCCTCTGGCTCCTCTCCGCATTTTCCGCTGTCACGTGCGCGCCGAATTCCGGCCCCCTGGTAGCGCTGGCGACGCGGTAAATTTCCGGCATTAACTGCGACGCGTCCTCGTTAGTCCCTTGCCGCAGCTTCACACTCGCAAGCGGTTTCAACGGCGCGGAGTCCGCGGAGATGAAGCCTTCGCCTCCCGCCGTCGCTCCGCCGCTCGCCCCAGGTGCGCCGCTTCCGTCAGTGATATCATTTCCGAAAGGGCGGCGGTTCGCAGAAGCTACAGGAGGAACAGCAGCGTAGTTTCCGGGCATGTGCTGAGAAACATCTTCGTAGGTTCCCGCGCGGATGGAATGGCCTCGATTGGCTCCGGAGAGAGCAGGCGCGGGGGGCAAGCGTGACATCATATTATAAGAGTCAGCCGGAAATAAAAATTAAGTAGGTGGCGTGGCGTTATAAAGCCACGATGATAGGTCTGGCGGGGAACGTTGTGATTTCGGAGTGGGATGCTGCCGCTCTAGAAGGACGCAATCTTCTTTTCACGTCCACGAAACCTAGCTATTTCGTTTTTCAGGTAGAAAAAAAGTGTGCGCCATGGTTTAACAGTTTTCACGGCCAAGTATCCAACTTCGTAATGATCACGAAATGAGCTGCTGCGGATATCAACGCCACAGTCCTGCTGCTTGCGCTCCTCTATGCGGCCAACCCAACGAAACATCGTGCTGCGAGCCTGGGGCGGGCGACCAAACGCAACGGCTTGGTATGCGTAACAGTGACACCCCGAGCCTGCTCCCTCAGTCCCCAAACCCGAAACCCTCAGTCCCCGGAGTACTGTTCTGTAACGCGGGCCACACAACACGCAGGCAGTGGAATGGCATGGCTCGTGTGGAAAATCGCATCGCTGGCAATGTCGCCTGTCTGATCTGGACTGAATCCCTTTTGTGTTGTCATTCCCATTGAGATCCAACTTTTACATCATCCGTTCGATTCCTACTTGTCGTCTCATCTCTCAACCCCCATCGACAGATCACGCGGCCCCGCCGATGGCGGGTTTGACACGCGCGGGTGCGTGCGTCCTTGATTGTGGTGGGGTGAGGTGACGGGCCAACATCATATACATGCAAATTAGTCTGGTAACCCTATTCGATGGTATGCAAAACCGTCGATACCCCAGTTCTGCTTCGCAAATTTGTCTGGTAGCGCCACATAAAACACTGTGTAACAGCTGATGCAGCACAAAAAGGATGCAATGGGTGAAACAATCGATTGCATTTTCAATTTCGTTTCATAGTTTTTTTCACCGCGCTTTGTTTGACGCCTAACAATGATTCCTGCGGGCAACAATTTTCCGTTAAATGTGCACGATAATTTTAACAGGAAAATCCGTCGAATGAAAGTTACCGGTGTCATTTTTGTAACAATATATTGCATCCCATATATTGCTACCGGATACTGCTAGGGCAGGCAAGAAAAAAATAAAACCCCTAGGTACCTGGACTCCTTTCAGGGAGGGATCAACCCTAAACACGGGAAAGGCATTGTATTTAGGGTTGATGCCTCCCCAAGTGCATCCCTTTCCGACCGGGTTTTATTTTTTCTGTCAGGTATAGTGAACAGTCATCTGGCGAACAGTAGCCCGAATAAATCGAAGTTTAGCGGAAATACAAGCGCGATAGAAATCATGGCGTTGATTCAAAAGAATCGTGATACTACGGCAGTATGTCAATACCTTCAAAACCGAGGTATCGACGGTTTTGCATACCATCGAATAGGGTTACCAGACTAATTTGCATGTATATGATGTTGGCCCGTGAGGTGACGGTGCTGATCACTTCGTACACCTGATACTCGTTTGAGTCTTCCATGGTTGCATTGTAAAGAGGGCGCTTAAGGGCGTATTTCTAGCTTTGGGTCATCCCATATTCGTGTCATAGAAATGGTGGGATCCAATCGAAAAACCCGAAGCTCAAAACGCAGGTTTTCCGATTCGATCCCACAATTTCGGATGACTCCAAGACCGGATGACCCAAATTTAGGAATGCGCCCTCAGTGATTCTTGTACTTCGCAAAGGTTTCGTTAATTTGCAGCTAGCAAAAAAATATTCATTCGTGCTTATAAAGAAATTGTAACTTATCCATTGATATTTGACTTTGGTCTTTTTGTTTTTAATTCGATCTCTTCGTTACTATCAGTTCAGAATCACTACATCTTGCGTGGGGTGCTTGTAACGTGGATGCAACTGGCTTGTAAAAAAAAAACAGGGTGCAGGATTTCTAAAAGGTGTAGACCAAATTCGCGTGCAGCAGTTGGGCATCGACTGTACCTTCGCTCCCCCCCCCCTCTCTTCCTTGGCCCTCCCCCAGCCCAACCAAAGGAGGGGGGAAGAAAGGGGAGGGAGATATATTTTTTTCAGGTAATTGTTATGTACATCGAAACGGGCAAGCATACATAAACAATAACAGTCGTTGTGAAAACTAGAACAAGAATGAGGAGCCATAGCTAGGAAAACCCTAGCTAGGCAAGAGAGAGTTTAGGCAAAGAGGGGGTTTCACTAGCAGCAATGAGGATACATATAGCAAACCCTAGATGGGTTGTACTCGCTATAGAGCACCCCACTACAGGCTAGAGAATAACATTCTGACACACCCCCATAGCCAAAGTGGGGTGTAATCAGTACAATGAGCAAGCAGGTATAGAGCAGGAGTTCACAAAGGTAAGCAAAACTAGAGTTAATCACAGCGGGCAAGTGAGGAGGAGGAGGAACTGTGGAGGGAGAGAAGATGGGAGGCAACGACTGAAGCTGCAGAGGCACGGGCACAGGAGCGGCTGACTCAGCGGCTACCGAAGCAAGGCCGACAGACTACTGGAGTGACTGGCTCCGCGGCTATAGACGAGCGGCAGGAGCAACGGACCCACTGGCGACTGGTGCAACAGGCTCACTGGCTACCGAAGCAAGGGCGACGGACTACAGGCGCTGCAGGCGACACGACAGCTACCTTCACACAACCTCCTCCAGCTGCCCCACACCCTCGACACACACCCCCTGCTCAAACCCTAGTTCCACTGCCACGTCACCCCCCTAGCACCACTCCTTCGGCTCCCACACACCCACCCCCCTGAGCGGCAGCTGCAGCAGCGGGAGACGGAGGAGGAGGAGGAGCAGGGAACGGCACACAGAAGCTGCACCCCCATACCCCCCACCCCCAAACCCTAATGCAGGAGAACGGGCAGCAGCAGGGGTGGGGCGCCGTCAGAACCACGGGGGACAGCGGGCAGCGCAGGGGAAGAGGAAACAGGGCGCTCACGGGCCTGGCGCAGCCCGTACGAACCGCGCGCGGGCGGCCCGAGGCGCGCGCTGGCCTGGCGCAGCCCGTACGGGCCGCGCGCGGGCCTGGCGCAGCCCGTACGGGCCGCGCGCGGGCCTGGCGCAGCCCGTACGGGCCGCGCGCAGGCTGTACGGGCCGCGCTCGGGCCCTACGCAGGTCGCGCAGGCCGCGACGGGCGACGGGGGGCGACGCGCGGGTCCCCGTCGCCCGTCGCAACGCCTCCCGGGAGCGACACGCGGAGTGACGGGGCAGAAAGCCGCCGCGCGCCTCGGGGCGCACGGCGGGCAGAGAGCCGCCGCGCGCCTCGGGGCGTTCGGCGGGCAGAGAACCGCCGCGCGCCTCGGGGCGCACGGCGGGCAGAAAACCGCCGCACGCTCCGAGCGCGCGGCGGGATGAAAAATCCGTCGCACGCCACGGGGCGTGCAACACACAGAGTAGCAGTAGCAGCGGAAGCAGGTGGGCCCACAGGCCAGGAGCGTAGATGCTCTGAAACCATGTGAAAGTAGTAGGTAGAATGAGAATGAGGAGCCATAGCTAGGAAAACCCTAGCTAGGCAAGAGAGAGTTTAGGCAAAGAGGGGGTTTCACTAGCAGCAATGAGGATACATATAGCAAACCCTAGATGGGTTGTACTCGCTACAGAGCACCCCACTACAGGCTAGAGAATAACATTCTGACAGTCGTAACTATGCATGAAAGGGGCCACGTGGCCGCCCCAGTTGAGGAAGCTAAGGAGGTCAGAGAGTTATCATCGGGGAAAGCCAGATAGAGTTGAAAGCGTTCAACTGTAGCCCGGGTAATCCTTGGTAATTCTTGTCACTGATCCGAAATAGTAGCCTATTTTCGCCCTCTCTCGTGCGACGAAAATTTTCTTCTTACCTCGTGCCCTGTCTCTTTCTCCATTGGGCGTCCCTCGCCCTCGTGTAGATCCGTGCATGCAGCTGAAAAGCACTCTCAATCCGATGGAGCACCTTCCTCGCCCGGAATTTAGTGCCCCTGAAGACCGCATCGCAACGCTCCAACCAAAGCTGATGCAGCGTGATGGACGTAAGCGTGGCGTCTGGAAAGGCCGTGCTGACCCCCGCCTCCCGGAACAGCAAATCCCCCAATAATGACAACACGCGCGAGGCATTCATCATGCGGAGAGTTTTTTGGAGCGCCGAGGTCACCACCTGAAATTTCAGACAACTGTATAAACAGTGTTCGAGGGTTTCGCACCCCCCACAGTGCGGGCAGACCAGCATGCTGCTCAGAAACGCCACCCGCCCTCCCACCTGCAGGTTAAGATTGTGAATACACAGCAGAACGTCCCTTGGCTTGCTTGGTGTAGCAAGCAATTCTCGGATAGCAATTGTTTTCTTCTAGTTGATGTGCCCGTTCCACCTGCTGTTCCACCTTGGCTGTTTTGCCGATGGTTTCTGCCCCTCCCTCCATAACAATTTCAACTGCTTCACTGGCGCAACTCCCCCATTTGCAAAAATGGGGAAGTCGATAAGTCCGCGCCCAGCAGAATGATGCGCCTGCCGAGACCCAGCCGAGTTGGTTAGTTGCCCCCCCCCTTGAGGAGGCGCGCTGAGCAGCAGATCTCTCCACCTTGTAGGTGCAGCTTCAAACGCCTTTACTGCTAGCGTAGCTGGGCCCTTCCCCCCCAGCTCCCGCTCGAGGGCAGCCGTGTCTTTGAGCGCAGGCAGGCCTTTACTGTCAAGCTTGAGTAGGTCACCGAGCCACTTCTCCCATGGCGGCTTCGCATCTTTTTGCCCCCCGACTGGCGTAGTGCCTTTCAGCAAAATCCTCTTATTGAAAACGATCCGCTCGCTGATCACCGCCTCTCGGGTGCTTGCCTCCGGTAAGGTGCCCAGCGGCGTCTTCATGAATTTCTCGCATGCCACCTTCCACCGTGTGCTTTTCCCCTCACAGTGCTTCAGCAGCTTCTCATGAGCAAAGAGGGTCTCAATACCCATACGTAGGTCCGCTGCCCTTGTCATGAG